CATTTATTGGTCAATCCACCCGTACTTGTTGCAACAGCAACATTCCCCCAGCGATCGAGACAAACACATCCCACCGTTCCCTGACTCAAATACAAGCTAGAGCCATCACCTTCGTTTCCACCTTCTGCGCCCACAATTCCCATCTCTCCACCACCTGTCCTCCAGCCTTTCGTCTTACCCTTTTCCAATCCCCGCTTATGCTCCTCCCACCTCTTCTTCGTCCAAAACCAGTCATCAGGACAAAACTCCAAGCCCCAGTCCTTCGCCAATCCTTCTACATACTCCCCACTGAGCTGAGAATGCATACTACCTCCGTCATCGCCATTATCGCCATCACTTGCACATCCAGTCCTAAGCAGCACTTCCCTCGCCAACTGAATCGGATGTTTCACATTGCGAATCAGCATCACACCTGCACCTCGCTTTATCGACCCTAGGTTTTGCCCAGATAATATCCCACTACCATCACCGCCACCTCCAACGCTGTTAACATCACTAGCTTCGTCGACCAACGACGCAACCATCACCGAAGCCTCCATCTCAATAGTACCCGCCAAAGTAAACACGCTGCCACGGCCGCAATTGAAGAGCTCGTCATCTTCCATAAGCGAGACAGCATGAACTGCAGCATTTAGAGCGCTGGCGGACGAGATGTGAGGGTCGTTTTCGACGGCATCGTTATTGCTAATACCACAAGTACTGGTATCTTCTAGACCTGCATTGAGAAGAGCGGTGGTGGAGCGGAGATAGGTGAGGAGAGATGCGTGGTATTGGCTATAAAGCTCTGGAGGAAGACGGGAGCGCTGAATATTTCCTGCACCACCGTGGAGGATGACTGCTGGTTTGAAAAGGGGTCTTCGGGGAGGTCGCTTGGGTTGTTTGGAGGCTGTTGGTGGCATTGCGTGTTGACTATTCAGTTCTTGCGATATCCAAATTCGGATGCAATGGATGCTAAGGGAGTTAGAATAATTAAAAGTGGTCAAGACACTAACCGGTGTCCAATTGTTCGGTTTGCCCACGTCTACCAGAATTAGAAGAGCGAAATTTGCGAGGAGATGTTTTGTCTGAGGGCGAAGTTGGTCCTTTGAGATGACGTCCAGGTTGATGTCGTCAAGATCACGTGTTGATAACGAAATCCTGCCATGCTGGATTATTATAGGAATCTGCTGGTCAGTCAGCAGCATCAAAGACAAAGTCCAGTTGGTAACACTCGAAAGACTTTAATTATGGAATCTCGGATATATATACTATACTGTTTCTTTTGCTGGTGTCAAATATATTGTACACGGAAGTGGTAGAGAAATGTTATCCCCTTTCTCTTCCACGTTCCAAAAACATCGCTGGAGGGTTGGAAAGTTTTGTAATAGGAAAGAATCTCCTGTTACATGTCCTGAATATGAAGAATATGTGAGGGTGCTCAGGATACATAGGTGGTGAGTGGTAGAGCGCCTTATCAACAAGGGGATGAGAGAAAAACACAATAGGGGAATGTGAAACTGGAAACAAGAGTATCGGAAACATGAACCATGAGAGAGGGATAAGCAAAGCAAAAACATAAAACAAAAAGTACATGAACAAATAAACTGAGGTTAAAAGTGACAAGAGACCGTGAATAAAAGTGATAGAATGGAGATATCTATAACCATGCCTCCGAGACAAATGATATGATCCAATGGCTGAACTCCCGCATGAAAGATGAGGGATTAGAATGGGTTGAAATTTGATACCCTATGGCGAGTATGTGGATGGGAAAATAGTTATAGGGAGGCGTTTAAGCCAACATTGGTGACTGCGGAGACTTATCTTCCGAAGGGGGAGGTGGTGGTGGTGGTGGAAGCTAATTATAGTAACATTTGTTAGCACAACAGAAGAACCTCTCAGGCATTGACAGATAGGCGGAGACGGGTGGACATCGACATACGTCTAATCGTGTATTTTCCGCCATCATTCTTTGAAACCCGATTCCGACTCCTTCAATAACAGCCAAGAAGCAAGCGCACATAATGGCGGAGTTCCTGGCAGCCCTCATTCCACCACGGATGGCAAGTGCACCACCTGTGAAAAATCCCGCAATAACTAAAATAAAACGCGTTAGACAAAACAAAGGCCCGGTATAAGAAGCGCTCCTTTTTCCATCAAGTAGGCCTAGTAACAACTCTACAAACTCACTCACTCAACAGAAGATAGGTTGAGCGGAGACGCAAAATCGATCAGTCATGAAGGGTTAAGCACATACTGGCATTGTACGGATCCTCCTTCTTCCTGATTCCCTTAACTGCACAATCGAATGTCGAAAACATGCCACCCCATACACCAAAGTTACCACCAACAACTGGTGCTCGAGCCTTAATTGCGGTAATAGCTCCTATCCGCCGTTCGCCGTAGGGACTGTTTCGGAATCCTTTCACACCGTGCCATACCGCTCCACCAATGGCCTGTTTTTAAATTATGTTCAGTCATATAGAACAGTCCAGGGTACAAGCAACCAAACAAGAATTTATTAATGACAGAAGGGGATTGATTAACATACACCCATACTAAACGCACCACCAAAGTCGCTGAGCGCGACCCACGGGCAGGGATCCCTTGTGTGATCCATTGTGATGGTGACTGTGAAAGGGGTTTAGGCAAAATAGGAAAAGACAATGAGTCGTACACAAAGGGTGTGTAGTTGAGACCAGGTCCAACTAGGATTGATTCGGAGGAATGGACGGATCCAAATTTAAAATATTAAAACTAGAAATAGACGGAGTATCCGGCAGCCCTGTTCGTCGCTGGACTTTGGCTGCTGCTCTCGTGTCTTCTCAAGTTGATAATATCCACAGCTCAGCTCAACAGTAACATCCAGGCTCCGGCTCAAGTGGATGAAATGCCGGAAATATTCGTTATAATCCTCGAGGAAAGTTGAGTCGCGCCAAACAATTCAATTACGCAAACAGATGAACACAGAATGAAGATAGGAGAGGGAAAAAGAAGGGTAGATCGGTCAATGTGTCGTCGCTGGTGATGTTGGCGGAGGAGGAAGACTCATGGACTAGGTTTTTCTTGTTCTATTCAATCGCGTCGCAAAACTTTTTGAACCAGTCACGTGATTATATTAAAAAGAAAATCATGTGATTTAACTAACTACTGCTGAATAACTAATTACAAGGCGCACGAGGATCCTTTGAACAACCATCCTCGCAATCGAACAAGAGGCATGGAAACTGGCAGCTCAGGAATAGCCAACTAGAACATGAACCTGCTGAGAAAAGCCTTCTTGTTACTCTATCATCATTCAGTTGTGGTCTATTTAATGAACCGTATTGGAAATTCTCTGGCTATATACTTTAGCTTCACACACACGGTGTCTTCGCATGTATTCAATCTTAAATCACAGCCTCCAACCCCATTCCAATCAGACAATCCAAGTGGCTGAGTGTTGCCCTACTTATCATCCTCCAGAATTCATCAGATTCATATTTCACCAAGAGTTTGTCTTAACGCTTGGGTTTTTTTTGGGTCATATCCCCACATTTCCCAATCAGTTGCAGGCCCAGAATTAGGGGTCACCGCTATAATTCTTTCAGCAATTTCGGATATTTGATCGTCCACTACATCAAGCCTTTCTGCGCTTCCTTCCCATCGGGGGACATTAAATAAGCAATATCCGTGGCTTTTATCCCCATCTCCTTGGAGGTCCGTCTGATGAGCTCATTTCTAGCTTTGCTATCGGCCGCACAATTCAAAAACTATTTCGCCCAAGTTATGTTTGACATGAAATAACTAAATCCTTTCCACATTTGGATTTGGCGTATTTCGACTCCTGCGAATCCATACCAGGGTAGGTGTAGAAGACAGTATTGCCATCGATACCTTTTCCTTCGAGAAAGGTGACAATCTCGCTCAGCATAGGGTATTTATCGCTGTCGCTGTCCTGTTTCTGCAGTTGGTTTTCAAACGGTACCTCCAGTGCAAGGGCGAAGCTGGCCAGCAGGAACGAAACGAGGTGAAGATAGCAGAGGATTTCATGATGTCAGCCGCTTGGATATAAAGAGGTGGAAATGAAAAACTCAAACTTGAGAGTAGGCTCCTTCACCAAAAGGATTCGGATTTCTCCTTTACACTCGCCTTTGTTACTAACCTGGAAGAGGGATAGCCCGATTTTATGGCGAATTCATCACGGATACAGGAAGAAACGGTATCTAAAATAGAAACAACTTCAAGCTAATTGACCTACAGTGCAGGACCCTGTGGGACACTCGATTTCTTTACTTGCTGGTGTAAGTGTTCTATTTTTGGAATTCCTGTCATAAGGGTGCTTGTTTCGCTGCGCAGGTGAATGTTTGCATTTTTCCCTCCTTGCAACGTGAGGTGCGGCTCATGAAAAAATAGTGACTTGCACAAGCTCAAATCCCCAGTGATATGGCTCTTGAAAATAGGTTCGATCTAGTCCGGTAAAGACTTCGAGCATTCTATTAAAGCGAAAGTTCTAAAACTGTCATTACTGACTTGCTATTATTGCTGTGGAGTATCTCAGATGATATTGTTAACAAATATAACAGCAGTCCCATCCACAATGCTATATTCTCAGGTGATAACAATTCATGCTACATTCCATAGCTAGCTGTGACTAGATGTTGATTACTATCTGCTCTCACTGAGCCCGGAAACTCCCTACTCGGCATCACCTATCCGCGCGGCAACGGATGCTGCCTCAATCCCATTTTTCCAAACATTCTATGAAAGGACCCGTCCATTGTACAGAGGCAATTTGAGCGAGAAGGAACACTGCTCGCACTGGCAGTTATATGTGGGAGATCCCTCGACTTTGTCTCCTATCTCTTATCCTGCGGTGCGGACCCGAATCAACCACCAAGCGTAGTCCCATTCCCAGTTGCTGGCGCTATACTGGCCTACCATGGGTCAGTGGATGCGGTGGTGTTTCTGCTGGAAAATTGCGGCAGACTTCAACACACAGTTGCTCTTGTATTGCTGCTTTCGGGGATTATTACGAAGCAATGAAGTTCCTTCTAGAGTGGGGGGCAACACCAGCAACGGATCCGCGAGATGACGGTATCCCTGATATCACATATATTGGGCCAGCACTACATGTTGCAGTCCACGAAGGTCACTTGGAGATAGTTGGTTTGCTGCTGCTCCAGCACGGGGCAGACAAGAATCAGAAGAACCAGGAGGGAAACACGGCGCTTGGAGTTGCTGAGACTAAAGGTCATATACACAAATATTGGGGTTGTTGAAAGCAAACTAGAGGGTAATTACCTCCTCCGCTACTCGCTTGGCAGACAAAACAGATTTGTATTTTTAAGTGGTAGTAAAATTTGACTATTCCTGTTTCCACTCAACCTGCTACTCGCTCCAAATGGTTTCTTGCAGTGAAAAAACTCGCGTGAATCTTGCCATTGACCTTAACTAGCTTCGGACGTAAAGATCAATATCTATTTAGTTAAGCTGTGGATATGTTTCTAATCTGACTTCGCCCGTACTTTTTAAGCAATGTTGTTAGGTAGAGAAAGGTTGGCAAGAGAACAACTCCCTTGACGGACAGGCCGTTTGACTTAAGAAATCATTCTGACCTAACAAGTCGGAATTTGCCCCCGTTCCTATTTTCGATTCATTGCATGTAATAAATGAGCTTCAAGATTATAGCTGGTGATGTTAAATATACCTCAGAGCGTGCAACAAAGAAGCCGATGAAGTCAGGGTTTGACGCTACAGAGCGTAAGATGGATAAATCGGCAAGTTTGTATTTATGTGCCCGTATATCTTTCCTGGTTTTGCATGTGGGTGGCTAATGACTCCCAGCTTGGATCGTCAAAACAAACCTTTCATTATTAAAAGTTTTTTTTAAGGCCGAGGGGCAAAAATTTTGATATGTACAAACGTATATGGTCATCTCACGATAATCAGTGCCCTAATTATGGCATTTCTAGAAATAAATATGAGCATGAGAATGAGAATAGATCGCATGAAATAAATAATAAATGGCCATGAAGATAGGTATGAAAAATATAAAACCCAAAAGAAGAAAAGAGAAATCCACATTACGCCTCCATGGTATCTATTAAGTTTCAAACTTCTCCAAAACTCCAGTAATATATATATATATATATATATATTTTAAAAAAAAAAAAAAAAAAAAAAAAAAAAAAAAAAGGAGGGGGGGGTGGGTTATCGATAAAGCCAAGCAGTCATATAGATTTTGCAAAAATAGAAGAATACATGCAAGGTAGATCCAGTCATTAGTTATTACGACAGGAAAAAAAAAGGAAGAAACGGAGGAGGGTTGATGTGTTAGCGACGACAACCCTATTTACTAGGCTTGAACAGAAGTCTTAAAGGACTTGGCTTTTTCGTCTTGTCCTTCCTTTTCTTGTCTTTCCTGTCCTTATCACCTGAATCAGTCAGCTCCTTGGCTCTCCTGGACCGTCTGGAACTTCTGGTAGTATTACTGTACTTCGAAGAGGTATCACGGATAGACTCCACGCCTCTGACGCTTCGTCGACCACCATACTCTGAGCGAAGGTGGCTGGCATGGCAATGAGGGAAAATCCCAGACACAGCAGCTGCTCGTGGTGTGATGAATTCCCCATCTACGGATGTCGCAACACTTTCTGCTTCGTAATCGGCCACACCACGCCTCCATGTCTCGACGCGGCTAAGGTTCTGGTTGAGTTCTATCAACTCATCCGTGCTGCCTTCCGGTTCGGCAGAGCCAGCAGTAAGTCGCTTGACAATCTTGTATCCCCCGAACATAACAATGGTAACGCCGACTCCGACGCCAGCAGCAATCATGAACTGGGGGCTTGACAATAGGGCAAAAACAGCGGGTGCGCTGGATTTCAACGCTGCCAGTGCTCCTGGGGCTAGTTTGGAGACGAGGTTGCTTATTTCAGCCAGTGTGAGAGCGACAGCAGCCATGGCTTCGGGGTTTTTCTGCAAGTGGGCCATCGTAGCTTGCACAGAGTGTTGTGCGCACTTGGCTTCGACGAGGAGGTCCTTGGCTTTGGCAACCAGTCCGTTTACATCTTTCCCTGAATTTGGGCTCCTGATTCGTTCTAAAGATGAAGGATGATATTCACCATAAGCTAGGTTCATGTCGATAAGAGGAGTAGAGTGGGACCGGGTTCCGGGATGGTGTTGATGGCGTTGAACAGCAACATCATGAGAGGTGTGCCTCCGTGAGAGTTCTCGTTTTGGTACTTGGTCTGGGTGGATATGTGTGGAGGGTGAACCATTTTCAACGTCGTGAGGGTAACGGCGGGCGGGATGACGATCCAGTTCGCCGTGCCTAACCACAGATCTCGTTCTTCCTGTGCGCCTTCTTGAGGACGCAACGGAGCGGGAATCGTGGATGGTGTAGTTGGCTAGGGCTCGACGAGCTTCCAACTCCGCGTTCTTGACTGCTTTCTCTGCGTGAATTTCAGCCTTCCTTTCTCGGTAAGCTGATCTAGCTTCTTTGAAGACACCGAATAAATGTTTGCTCTAGAAAGATTGGCAAATATGAGAACGAATTTTTTGTTATAAAAAAAGCGTACAGGAATAACTTACAGTGCTCACCACCTTTCCCGACTTGTCAAATACTGCGATCGTCTGGCCTATGGTTGCCATGTCGATATGGGATTGTCGTTTTGCTTGTGAAATCAGGTGTGTATATTCAAGACAATAGCCAAAAAAAGAACAAAAATCGAAGTAATTATGTATTTCTTCCGAGGCTTATATTGACATTTACTTGAGAGTTTAGGGGGAAGATGACGATTAGAACGGAGATTGGCGGTGTAGATTGGTGACGGTGGGCCGGACAGTCACAGCTTGACAAGACTGTTCCGAGGAGGTGATAAAGCTTTGGTGTAATGGATAGAGAAATGAGAAGGACGGTAAGGAAGCCTTTCTGATGCTGGTAGTACTTGGGAGAGCTTCCCAAATATTGGGAAGAAACTCTTTAAACGAAAATGCGGTAGGAAATATGAGCTTTTCAAGTGAGTTGGATAGCTGGCCAGATAGAAAACGGGTGGATCGAAGTCCATTAGAATGGATGTGGAGAAGGCATGCACAACCGTTGGTTCAAATAAATCATGGACGATATGGCTAAGTTTGTTCGTGTGGCAGACGGTGATTGTTGGGCGACAATTTAGTATGGTGCTGAGACATAGAACTTCCCCCGCGGCTGTGAATATTAAGGTTCTTGAGGAGCATCCAACTTGTAAACTGCAGCTAATCGCTAAAAACGAAGCCAGAAGCCGTGCAGAGCAGGACTCCGCGCATGAGAGAAAGATAGAGAAACAAAATTGAAGAATCCTAGAAGGCGACGGTATATGTGAATGTCGCAGGTGGCGTCTCAGAATGCAGGGACACCATTTTTGACTGGTTGGTTCTATTCAGCGGGCAGGGCAGCATACGACAGCTGTTGCTTCGTCCCAAGTGGCAGACGTTGGATGGGGGTGACATCCGGGGAGGTGAGGCGTAGCTCGGCGTGTATGCTGGTTGGGCACCACAGCTAAACCGGAAAGGGGAAGCGGTTTTACGTAGCGCCGACGGCTTTAGAAGCGAGTAAAATTGGCATTGATGACTCCATGTCACCAGCACTGACGGCAAGTAGATGCTGTTGGTCAACAGCTGTTTATAAATTACTGTTGAGGGATTTGGCTATCGTCTTTTTGAGCGGTTCGAGTTCGATGCAACCGATGTTGAATATGTCACGTGATATAATATGGGTTATTACTAATTCGATGTATGGCGCTGGACACAGCCACACGAGGCCTTCTGCGTCATGCGCCACAGCAGAGTTTTTCCGGATTTCTGTCACTTTAGCCCCATCTTGTTGTGCGTCTGCCAATTGACTGGTTCAAGCGCTTCGACTTCAACCACTCCAGCTGAAAGAAAAGGTTATTATCTTGTTGCTGGGTTAAGGTTAGACCATGGAGACATGGGAAGGGTATGAAGTCCCCGGGTTGCTGAAGGGGTCTAGAGCTTTGTGGATGCTTATATCCAGGTACCAGGATTCGGACATAGCTTTCACTCAGCATGATTATTGTTCTCATCATGCTTCCCTCTCCTCTGTTGTTCTCTGGGGGCTTATCCAATTAGACTGGTGTTGAACTTGGATATCGTGGTATACTTTCAACAGGTTGAGAATTTGCTGTTCAAAAATAAAAAACTTGAAGAACTTGAGAATTTCTTCCAAGTTTCTATTAAAATCCAGTCTGCATATCCATATGCAATCATCGACTCGCTCACTCCCAAACCTAGACAGTATGCTGAAATTCTCTTCTGGTATATCAGTCGAAGGTGGGTGTTATGCGAAACATTAGATGCTGTGCTGGTGAACTTCGCTCTCGTTCGTGTTGTGAGGAGGAAGAAGTTGATCTACATACAACCTCGTCATTCAGCCCAACCAAAGAGACACATACACACACACACACGTGCCAGCTGTTGTTCTGTTTCCATTGACGGGTAAAGGAAAGAAATTATATATAGAATTGCTGTAAATACTTTGCCCTTGTTGCATGATATGTCTGGCGGCCAATACGTTATTCCGGTTGCAAAATATTTCGGCTTGTTGTACTCCATACCCGCAATCAGTTTGCCATTATTGGCGCTCTTTCCCTCTGAGCAAAAAATGCACCAAACAACAGAATGCTGCGATTAAAATGTTTTATTTGTCCGCGTAGTCCTAGGGTCGTAGATGGCATTCTCTGAAACCAAAGGCGCAGTTAGAGATGTTCGTAGATCCCGATTTCCGGGAAGTGTCCTGGAGAAACTGTGGAATTGCATCGCAATGGCATAAAACATTAATGGTTTTGTGTCAGTTGAAGAGATTCTCGATAAAATTCTGGCTCACATTTCAATTGCAACCAGTGTGGGCATTTCTTCAAAGACTGAAGTGGGCCTAAATATGGCAGACGATCATGACTCGTCTCAAGGTTTAACCCTCAATAGTCAACGATCATCGTAATCAGTGAAGGCAAGATAAAAGACCGAAAATAAATAAAATAAAAATAACATACAAACCAGAATAGGGCAAGCCACAAATAGATCTTCATAATCGGTGAGAAAGAATCATGTCCCTCACAAAACTACTCCGTCCCTCTGCTCTCCACGCCTGTGTCCGCGCCTGTGTCCCCTCTAAAACATCCTGCACACCGAACAACGTGGATGCCACCATTTTTTAATCTCATTGCATCATTTCGGACGCACATAATTCGCGAGAAAATTCCACAAATGGAGGCGTGTAAAGAACAGCCCGGAAAAGCCCCCCTCGCACGGCTTTGCTGGGACAGAAGACCAAGGTTAGTCACCAGGTAGAACAAGTTAAGTAACAGAGAGAGGAAGAGGTGAAAAAAAGAAAAAGAAAAAGAAAAAGAAAAGAAAAGAAAAGAAAAGAAAATGGCCGCTATCTGTGGCTGACTTGAATCGCTCGCTTCTTCCTTAACCAAGCCAGGATCCAGGGATAGATTCACACCACAATAGCGGCGCTGTCAGGAGGAAGACGGCCCTGTTTGAGCTCTGATGGAGGAGTTTATTTTTTAAACCTACCTATTCCCTTTGTATTCCCAAGCTCGACAAGCTAACGCTGCTCGCTTGGTGGTGATCCAATGTGGATATCAAGGCCCCGAAAGATGTGCACCAAAGACATGGGCTGGATGCAACCAGGAAGAACATATGGTGAGATTTCTGAGTATTTCATTTTTATTATTAGTCCTTTTCATATATTTGTTGATGCGCGAAAGGCGCATAAATTATTCCCAAAATAATACTCGTTATGCTGTTGTCCTGGGGTAAAATATTGGGAACATTTTTGTTGTTGAAAATGGCACTGCGACAGAAATATGTTCACATTTTACTTCCCCAGAAAATGCTCTGTTTTCATGGTTGTTCCAGGCTAGGGAGGCACACGGAAACTTCGCCTCCTCCCAGTTGAACATCGACAATACCCAACTCGTCCACCATCATCTACTGAATATGCCATCGTTATGATATGTGATTGACGGTGGAAAATTAAAATGCCCTCTTCCATTGCCCTACACTGCTTAGTAATGAGCCCTATTTTTGCCCCTTGGATGCCCGCTGACAACAGGCGTCATGGATGATTCAGACTTCGATGGCCCCTCTGATATTGAGTTAGAGTTGGACAGGCGGCCCCAATTCCAGCCTCAGCATAGTTACTGCAACGGCGAAACTCCTCCTGATGCTCAATTAAACAAACCATGTGCTGTGGGCCACCGGGTGCAGGCCGTTCGCTCCGTTCTTGCCTTGGTCATCGACGAGGAGTGCGTTTTTGCTGGTCTGCAAGGCGGCGATATTGTTGTATGCTTAACCCCTATAAATTATCCCAATGTCCAATATGTGATGCGCGCAGATGGCTAACGTCAAGACACATATTTATGTGCCTGATATGTCCAGGCTTGGTCACTTGAGACTTATGAACTGATTCTTTCAGTCAAAGCCCACCAGGAAAGCGTACTGGGCTTGTATCTATCTGACGACGGAAGCTTGCTTTTCTCGAGTGGTGGTGACTCCGTTGTTAATGTATGTCGTCATGTCATATTCTTCCTCTCTTCCTGGCTCTCATGCTCATCTTGAGTGTGAATTTCGACGACCATGTATGCAGGATTTGGAAGCTAATACTATTAAGGTCTGGTCAACGAGGACGTTCGAACGCCTCTATTCAATTTACTCGCACCACGATGTGGGCGATATTTTCACTGCGGTTTACTCAACTAAACTGAAAACTGTTTATTGCGGTGCTCAAAATACGAGCATTCAAGTACGACTCCAGAGCCCTTGCAATAGTGTTGGTATCATATGACTAATCCTCAAGTCGACAGTGGTGTGATGTCCAACTGGAGGCTCATCCGACCCCGCCGGCTGGAGTGCATCCGTCAAGCAGGAGACATCGATTTTTCGATTCCAAGGGTCCCGGTGGCACTGTGACCCTAAACCCTGATGTTAGCGAAGCAGCTGCAAAGCTTGGCCATGGTGGTCAAACTCTCACTTTCAAACGAGACCACCACAAACCATATGCCCACAATGGCTATATATATTGTATGCTTTTAATCCGAGGCCTAGAGGAGTGGGCAAATGGCGACGAAGTCCTCTTAACTGGCTCGGGAGATGGATCAGTCAAGCTCTGGGAGCTTGGCAATGGTCCAGATGGTTCTCCGCTTGAGCTGGCTGAGTTTAAGAATGGCAGTGATTCTGTACTGTCTATTGCGGTTGACGGTGCATTTCTTTACTGTGGACTTTCAGGAGGCGCAGTTTACATTTGGAACCTGGATTCTCGTCAGATCATCAGGAAGCTCACAGCCCACAGCGGAGACCTTTGGGCGATTGATGTTGTCGGAGGCATTACTATTACTGGTGACTCCTCTGGTGTGATTAGAGTATGTATGCCCTTCTCTATATGAATTAACGTTTCCTATTAACCGTCGATCGTAGAAATTCAACTCTAGATTTGAAGAGATCGGCTCATGGGTTGCTCACGAAGGAACTATGCTGGCATCAGCCGCAGGTGTTTTCGACGATAGGCGTATCTATGCCACTGGTGGCAATGATAACACCGTAGCCATCTGGGATTTAACGGAACACCCGCAAGATTCCCGTGAGGCCCCTGCAATTGGCAACGGTAAGCAAATATCATGCCCACAGTCATAACCGCCCACTAAACTTCTTTAGATGAGATGGTCAATAGCCTGGCAAAATTTGTTTCCTTTAAAACAATATCTTCGAGACCTAAGTTTGCCGGAGAATGCAACCAGGGCGCGGCTTTTCTCCGTCGTCACTGCAATTACCTGGGAGCTCATACCAAACTTTTGGGCACGGGACCAGATACGAACCCGATTGTCTTTGCAAGATTCGATGCCGTTTCAAAGTCTTCGACTAGCAAGACTCTATTATTTTACGGCCATTATGATGTTGTTGGTGCAGATACCAATCATCTGAAATGGAATAGCGATCCATTCCAACTCACCTCTGTCAATGGGTTTTTGTATGGTAGGGGTGTATCAGATAACAAGGGTCCGGTCCTCGCAGCTCTGTATGCGGCCGCTGAATTAAGCCAGAAGAAAGCCTTAAGTTGCAATGTCGTTTTCTTGATTGAAGGCGAAGAAGAATCTGGTTCCCAGGGATTTGCCAATACAGTTAAGAAACACAAGGACTTGATTGGGAATGTTGACTGGATTCTCTTGGCAAACAGCTACTGGCTAGATGACCACATTCCGTGCCTGACCTACGGCCTAAGAGGTGTGGTCCATGCCAATTTTGTCGTGACAAGCAGTAATCCAGATTTGCACAGCGGTATCGATGGCAGTTCCCTTCTTGACGAACCATTGAAGGACCTAACGATGCTGCTGGGCATTATTGTTGGTGCGAAAGGGAAAATAAATATACCAGGATTCCACGACCCAGTTTTACCCCTGACAGAGGCGGAAAAGGAACGATACGACGCAATTGCTGAAGCCCTACTTCCTCATCATCCAGAGATTGAAGATAGTGAATCATTTACTGATTCTCTAATGCATCGTTGGCGTGAGCCTTCACTCACAATCCATCGCGTCGAAGTCCCAGGCTGCCAAAATACGTCGACGACTATCTCGCGAAAAGCACGAGCCACACTTTCCGTCCGCCTCGTACCAAACCAAGACGCAGGCAAGGTGGCGGCCGACCTGACAGAATTCGCACAGGCCCAATTTGCAAAATTTGACTCCCAAAACACCCTCACAGTCGAAATAACGGGTAAAGCGGACCCCTGGCTAGGAGATCCAGAGAATGATATTTTCAAATCGCTCTCCCGTGCCGTAACTGCAGCCTGGTCGTCTGCCAAAGGAGAACGGCACTACAACTACCCGCCGGTCAACATTCCAAACCAGTTGTCCCGGCGTGAACTTCTCCACACAAACTCGACAGATAGCATGGCTTCGCGGTTCGATCGGATTACCTCCTCTTCCTCCTCAGCACCCAAAACCAGTTCGGGACACAGACTTTCCACTTCTGCTGTTCCGACCTCTTCGACCCTCGCTCACGGCCCCGACTTACCAAGTGCAAACCTTCCTAGTAGACCACGCGCGTTCTGCAGACATGGTGCATCCTCATCCACTTGTGAAATCAGTTCCGCAGCGGCAGTCGTGGCAGCAGGAGGGTCAATGTGTTATCGCCACCCCCAAGTTCCACAACATTCCCACACACGAACCTCTACATCGACATCTCAGCCCCCATTAGCTCAGCCCCGCTCTTGCCAAGTGGTTAAACCAATTTACATTCGTGAGGGCGGTTCGATTCCAACAATCCGCTATTTGGAGAAAGCATTCAACGCCCCCGCGGCCCATTTACCCTGTGGCCAGGCCAGCGATCATGCGCATTTGGATAATGAGCGATTAAGGGTTGAGAATTTGTACAAGAGTAGGGAGATTATTAGCAGAGTGTTTAGGGATTTGGGGAGGGATGATGAGAGTGCCGTAGTTGAGGATGAGGGGAGTGAGAGTGATAGAGAGCCTGAGGAAGATTTGGAGGAGTAAACCAGGAGGCACTCCGTAGAAGGATGAATGGATTGTAGTCGGTGGCAAATGGACGAGATATGGGTATTGTTTATTCCTCGAAGTAGCCGATATCGTGTATTGATGTATTGATAGGCTTTTTTTACCTTCTCCTTCTCATGTTCCTTGTCTTTGGCCCTCGTTTCTTTGATTGCTCCTTTCCACTACGTTCGCTGGTTCCTTGTCTATAATAGCCGTCCATATCATTTATATTCTAATGGCACACGCGTGGAACAAAAAACAGCAGACTGAAACGCATTGCCAGGACCCTTCAGCAACACATGTGAGGAAAATATAAATTTAGAAAGAGGACAAACACCATAAAGCTCATAGCATATCACACTTCCCTGAATTGGGCGCAAAACGAGAAGATTGTTCCAATGGCGCAAACCTCTAGTAAAATAAAACTACAATACAATGCCATACGTACATACATTGAAGCATGTTGTCAAACTCCAAGCCAATAATACACATGCAATAGCACAGAAAGGGCGTATCCACATTCCCAACACCATTTGAAAAGCAAATGAAGATTCTCACCAAATCCTCTTAGCAGCCATTTCATACCTCATGACCCCTTCAATACCGTCACTGCCTCCGGCATTAGACTTACAAACCCTATCCCTCTCCTCTCTCTCCCTCAATCGTCTCGCTCCATCGGGATCGTCCGCGTAAATCCACCTTCTCCGATCCTCACCGACCTCCACAGCACCCCAACCACCAACGCGGCGAGCACCCTCAACGATGTCGGGGTTTGGAGCTTTAGCTTGGGAATGTGACACAGCCGTGGTGGATTGAGTTGCTGTTGGTTTGGAGGCAGAGAATGAATTTGTGACGGCAGATGTGGTTGAAGATACAGGCCCGCGTTCTCGCAATTTCATTTTCTTGTAGCGGGAGCGGGCATAGCTGAGGAGTATTATGCCGAGGACGAGCTTTGAGAAGAGGAGGGTAAGGTATAAAAGGAGAATAAGGATGGTGGTGAAGATGGGTATGAAAGTCACGGGTGATAGCGTTGCATGGGAAATCAGGGTTTGGAATAAGGGAGAGATTTTGGTGAGGGAGAAAGCGGTTTCGAGTGGCTGAAATGGGAATAAGAGCGAGGGTGAAGGAGAAGGTGATGGGGAGTAATGGTCATGGATTGATGTTAGGGAGGTTGTGTTTGATGGCGGGAGGAAGGGCTGTGTTTGTGGGAGCCATGAGGTCAGAAACATCTGGTATGTCTGGACCGACACACGGAAGAAAAGGCAGGCCAGAGGTATAACGGGAAGACCTAGTCGACGGTTGAGATTTTGATCTGCAAAGGCATTTGTGTAGTAGTCCTTGGCGAGGACATCAAGGAAACGACCGTACATGGAAGGGCGGGTGTTATTGAATTTGTTGATATATGCATGTTTTAGCCAGTCGACAATCATCTCAGAGCCCAGAACTACCAGGAACGGTCCAAGGACATGTGGGAGAAGTGAATTCACTTTGCTAAGCGAAGAAAGTATAGATGATGGGAGGATGGTGAAAGCCTGTGGAAGAATGGATGACGCCGTTCTAGGTGGTGTTACGAAAGATGTATTGTTTGGACTTGTGGATGGACTGTTGCTGGCGAACAAACTCAAACCGCTGCCAGAGCTGAAGATACCAGTTTCAACAATATTTCGAGATGCAATGATGGTAAGCATTAGCCAAAGTTGAAACCGTTCAACAACGTCAGCACAAGTTAGTTGAAAGAGATTTTCCTTTTCGAATTTTTTGAAGACCGTTGACTTAATTTCCACGAATTGGTTTGACAATAGCAAAGTAATCAGGGCATTTGAGTACGAGTTCACTGCTACATTAAGGGTCATCACTTGGTAGAATAGTGCCGTGGAATGGATAACTGTATATATAAGCGCAATGATAAACAGCCAGAGTGGACGTAGTATCTTGCTGCGGCCGTCTGGTTTCCTCTCGAGAGCTTCTCGTGAAAACAGACATTCAAGGACGTCTTGGCCAATGGCCGACAACAACCTATCACCGACCTGTAGATATGTGTATTAGACTAGAAAGCATAAAAAGGAACGATCGGGCAGTTCGAAAACATACTTCGAGTACATTGTAAATAACGTAAAGTTTAATTGCAGCCTGTCCGCGAATCCAATGATACATCCGACTGGCATCGAAATACATTAAAACCAGGCATGTAAATATCATCAAGAGGCCCTTCAAAATGTCTGCCTTGTGGTCCGGTAACAGAGTTGAAGGAATGGATCTATTCCTACGGTGTCTCCGACTAACGGATGCCCGATTTCTTCTGTCATTTCCGGACGCCCGATTCTTAGTGTCATCGTCAAGGAATGGATTGTCTATTCCGATAGTTGGAGGAATATCAACGCTTGATTGTGAGTGACCAGAGTCCTCTTTAGCCTTTTGATCGTACCAGCTCACGCCAGTAGCTGATGCAGCCTGGTGTCTCCGCCGCCATACCCTTGCAATCCCGGCAATAATAAACCCGCAAATGTACTGAGCTTCAGCTCCAACATTGACAACCCAGGATTGTAGAAGAATAAATATGGACTTGAAAAATCGTAACGGAAGAATCGTAAAATAATAAAGCCATGCATCGATACACGCTAGTGTACCAAAAATTAGAACATGTTCCAGAGCCGGGGGAAGAAGGAAGAAATTTTGTAAACGCTCAAGCTTCGCTTGAGATGACTCATAGGGAAAATCATTCTTGGCGGAGCGGTGGATGTATAAGGGCGAAGGTCGGTCAGAAGCTAATTCTAGCTGGAGATATGTGGGAATGGAGAAAGGAGGAAGTGGAATAGATTGGGGAACTGGGGACGGTAGCGGGTCAGCTATGGATGCCGAGTTTTGGCGATTTTTAGCCATATCAAGCGGGTCAGGCTTGGGACGGGAGGACCACGACTTAGCCAATCTATCGCCACTTGCTGAGAATCGCCGTCTTTGAGGGGTATCTGGGACCGATCCAGCTAGTGTTGAGTAAGTCCTGCGCCTGGTCGGGGATGGAGGAGGCATCTGATGTGCGGACCCAAGAAATTCGCGTGGATCCTCAAGATGGGAATTCCTTCCAAGATTCAGTTTGCGCCTTGGAGACCTTATTCTTCTCGAAGATTCGTTCGCAACTAATCTATCTACTTGTAGATCCAGAGCTCCAACAGCCTTTCGTGAATCCGAGGATGCATATGGATGCAATGCCGGTTGCCATCGATATCGTTCTGGGGAAGCGGAATGGAGCGTAAGAGATTCGGGAGAAGAAGTGAGTTCATGAATTTTCGCAGGAGATAGTTTAAGAATTTTATTCTTTTCACGATCCCGGGTCGAGGGCGATTGCCGCTGTGAATCAATCCGCTTCAAAGAAGACGCCGTTTCTACGTTGGCGACTTGTTCGGATTGAACAGCGGGCTTTTCCCCTAGGACAAGGGTAGATACCGTTTCCACGTTTCCGTCAGGATTCTCCATACAACTTCCTAAGGTTGGTGTAGGACCAACCGAAATTGGTTTCAACTGTACCGTTTCAGCTCCCTGGTCCTTCGTGTCCAGAACAGGTGTAGGAATAGCTTGCGGTTCGGTGCCATTTTGCAGGGCCGGACTTTTGTCTTCCGAGTTCTGAACATTCCGCATACCATTATCTTCCATACGCAGCACATCCATCTCTTCAGGACTTTGACCATTGACAACCTCAGCAACCAGCCCTTTTAAGTTGGTCATCTTTACTGTTGGATCTATATCGGTGTTATTTCCTTTCGATCCCGCATGGACAGCCAAGGGCTCTTCACTACAATTTCTTTCGGAAGCGATATCGCCAGCATTACTATCAGCCATCAAACTGTCACCGCTCCGTCCAGAAATTGTAGGGGAAGCAATGCCATTGGTCGTATCCATAACGATTCCTCCTTTTAAACTGATATCGCTACCGTCATCGTAATCAAGGATCCGGAGTCTTCCCGCTCTCACTTACACTGGGCAGTACAGATGCGGGATAATCCCCCGGCTGTGAAGCAGCGGCATCAGCCGTACGGATCGATATGTGTGCTGTATATAACTGGTTTACCCTGTAGCCCGTTTTATCTTCTGTTGTTGGCTACTTTTGGTAAGTCGGCTTGGTTTGAGAAGCTCGATCTTGATGTGAGTAGAGGCGAGCTGTCCTGAAGTTGCGGTGGCGTAGTAGTTGACTTGGGGCTCCCCAGATAAGAAACAACGTCGAAGCAAAAGACTCAAACGCTAACTAATTATCATGCGTGTGTATGTTTAGGAGAGTTTTTGACGTTCTTATAGAGGTTGAGAAGTGTTTCGACGTCAGCAGATTGCGAAAAAGATAAAAGGTCAATCAATGGTTAAGCTGAGGGAAGCTCATGCTTAGTCATCCGGAGCAATCGAGATCAGAGAAGTTGAAATCTAAACTATGCTATAAACCAACCACCAAACCCTAACATAGACATATCCCACTCGCGTCTTCTATATGCTCTTGATAGCAGTGATTTTATCGTATTTCTCAACTAACTCTCATCCTAACCTACCCCTAACCCTGGTGTTGAGGTCGGGTGAGGTTGATTAGAGATGATGTATTTGTGTTTATATTCGATGGGGATGATGGAGTTGATCATGGTTTTAAAATTATAGTTAGGTCTCTCAAACCACATTCAACTTTTTGAAACCACGAAACCTCCGCTTTGATAGTATTTATCGAGTGTTCGTTCATGAAACAGCCTTATTGAGGCCATCTTCGTTGGGTTACTAACTTTTATTTATCTGAAAGCAACTGACATGTAGGATCTGATGGATGAGGTGGTGTTAACCCTCCTCACGACCACATCAGCGGGAATTAACCACCACAGGCATTTCTGTCAACACTCCGGATGACATGCAGCTTATTAGATACAGCGCGAGCTTCAATCAGAGTTCCCATCACACAAATGTCATTATGAACCTTCTGTCACCTATCTATCTGACCGCCGTGATCGACATTATGTCGCGTTGAACTGGTTCGAAGGGAGGGTTTTGCCTCCCATCCCCCAGATGATAGAGACCTGCTGACTAGCTGGGCAATTATCAAGCTGAATATGGAAGATACGTTCCAGAATTAATCGTCCTATAATAATGGCTAGAGCTGTTTTTTTCACAGGACTGATTGTAGACAAGCTTTCTGACTTTGCCTCACATGAATATCTATAGAGGTTTTATCTATGGTCCGCTGAAATCGGCTCGCAACACAATTCGACCATCTTCAACAGTCAGTGAGAATATCGCAGAGTTTTTATACCTCATTTTTGAATCTCAACTCTAGTCTGTTCTTCCCGGATGGAGTGTTCAGGGATATGTTTTTCGAAGTGACTACCGGAATGTCCATAAACACCGACGGTTTGTTGAAATATTCCAAAAACCTTGCTCGGTGCATATCCGTCGAACTACGGGTCAAATCCAGTTCTCTGAGAGCTATCCATTTTCTTTTCAACCCAGGTCGAGTTAAGAGGACCGCCCTATCGTGACTAACCAAGCGCATTAGGGTGAATTAGAACACAGGTTCCTGGTGTTCTGGTTCCCTAGTTGACAACGTTGATATATTCAGCAGCATTGATGACTTGCCCCTTCACCGTTTTGCTTTCACCACCAGGACTCTGCATGCACATCTCAGGTTCCCCTTTTTCACGGAGACTGGCTCTGCGATCGTCTCCTGACGAACTCAGTTTCATTTGTCGATTCTCCTAATACAATTGAACCGAATTGTCAGTTGCTTCTTGACTACCCCCGCCAAATCTATTTTTGTCTCCTTTACTAAGAAAGTCACAAGAAACTCATAAAGGCCTTGCCACAATCTAAGAAACGGCAACTGGACACGAAGCGTCACGATTTGAATAAATATGTGGGTCGGTATTGGAATTTCTTTCACAAATTTGATCTTCAAATTCCAGTTTTCTGAGCATGGCGGGCGGTTATTTGTTACAACTCTCTTTCCCCGGACTCAACTCACAGATATATCCCCCTCTGGCGTCCTGCCACGTGGATGGATCTTTCAAGTAACCACAAAACCTTGATTTAGAAGCTCTGAGAGGGTCCATTTCACACCACTGATGCCAACTATTGTATTATAGATTTCTCTGGTTAGGCTGGAACGCTCACATCTGCAGATTGTCTACGGCTGAAAAGTGGTACATCACGATTCTTGCCCCCGCCCATGCTTCGGAAGAGGTAAAAGGCTATCCTAGAATTCGTCGGACGGAACTTTTCTTATACTCTTTCACAACACAGATGCTATGTCATCACCTGTCATTCCGCCAAACCAACAAACCATCAAACTACTTCTCTCATTCATTTTAATTTTTTTTGCTCCTGTGGGCCGGTTTCATGGCGAGAATTAAGAAGGCCAGGTTCACAACTTTACGACACAACACTACCTACAGGGATATATGGCCAAGAGAAAGCATCATTGTAAAGAGTATAATGTAGGCAGTATCTTACTAGATGGCTCGTAGCACTCTCTTCTCACCGGAGCAAAATGCACACTCCATTTCAGCTAAGAATGGATGACCAAGACTACACAGCTCTTCTACAGAATCAAAATCCATAGAGATGGAATGAAAATTTTGAAACTACGCATCCTTATTATCCAACGGACTTGAGAGCAATTTTACCTACTTTATAAAAGGACCCATATATTTTCACGGAATTTGTCAGCTGGGTCTGTTCCGTGGAATGTGGGTCTAAACGGCGGGACCTGTAGATCTTGGCGCTAACTTCAACCCATGCATGTAATTCCGCATCTAATGGGCTCTCGGAGTGTCAGTCTGAGTCTCCATTCATTTCTGGTTTGGTACCAGAAGTGCAAATTGGCATTCACAAACGTGGGCTCGCTCATGTGGATGTTTCAATGCGAATGGAGTCTCCACAATGCAGTTGGCTCAGTGAAATTCCTCTGAGCTTGGCTGCAATTTGCACAGGACATATTTGCTAATAACTTCATCATGGAGCTCAGCTTCAAAAAGTGTCCTAAGACTCTAGAGACAGCAGTTGAGCAGGGAATGGATATGTCTAATCTGCAGGACATTCAGGTAGTCATGGTGACTCCATTATATTTCTCAATCTCTCCCTGACACTTCATATATACACTAAGAGTAGATTGTATAGAAGTAGAACCGCGAAGTAGTTAAAGAGGGGCAAACAAAACCACGTTAACGGCAAGGGTATCCGAGATAAAACCTAAAATGAACAATGAGTGATGCACCTGCCAGGATGTAGGTAGGTAATAATTGGTGCAGTCTGGATCATAGGGGTTGAGATTACGTATGTTGCTTGCTAAAAGAAAATAGAAACGGAAAATTGTAGGAAAGGGATATATTTGTTAACTTTACATGTCTGTCGGTGCTTTGACTGTGTTGATGGAGGAAAAATGAATACTGTAAGAAATCGCGTCTACACACACAAAAAAAAAAAAAAAAAAAAAAAGGAGCAGAAGGAGAGTAGCTAAAACCGGAATCGAAATTTGTCAAGGGGAAGGCAGAAAACACAGGCAAAAGAAGAAGCAAATAAATATAAATATCCTGCCCGAGAAAAATGGTATAGTTGAAAGGGGTATTACGGTTCATTTTTTGTTCATGATGGCAGAGTGTAAGATATCCAGCTTGCTTTTCCGCGTTACTAAATGGTCGTGGCATATAGGTTTCGGAGAATGAGAGTGTTGTAAGATGTAGCCGTGATGTGGAAATAGGGAGGATGTTGGAGGGGGATGTGTGTAGGGACCATGGCTTTGAGAAGTGCGAGGACATATAGCACAGAGGGTGATGGCGTAGCATAGTTCGCTGTATGCAAATGGGTGTGAGCCAACGTAAAGCTGACAGAATATTTCCATGCAGATTTCTCGACCGTGTCACGATGGAAGTAAGAAAATAAAAAGTTGGGGTGGTGATGGGGGAACATAGGAGAATTTCGTAGCAGGTGTGTGAGGTGAGTCTCCCAAAGTAAACAAAATATGCTACATGCGCACAATGCGTCAATTGAACGATCGATCAATCCATTGAATAAACATCTAAGCCATCAACCATTGATATTTCTTAAACTCCACCATAAGTCGGTCGATTCTGCTGTGGCGGCGCCGTACCCGATCGCTGCAGCCGTGATCGATCAGGGACAGACCTATTCCCATCCCTACTGCCATTCCGATATCCGGTTGACGGAGAAGTCGTCGCCGGACGAGCAAAATTTCGGAACGGTTGTTGGACGGGGGGAAGAGGAAGAGGTAGGTCAGGAGTACCTTGGTTTGGGGGAGCGGGGCTTCGTCGGGCGGAATTAGTTGAAAAGTGTTGATAGTCGTTGGAACTATTGCTGCTGCTGAGGTTGTTGGAAGGGAGGCGTGGCGTGTATGCTCTCGCCGGCGTTGGGAACTGGGAACGATCCACTGGTGAGCGTCGATCACTGATAGCTGGCATTGCTGGTAAGAAGGAGAACTGTTGTTCGTTGAGGGTAGATGATGAATCTAGGGCAGCAGGTGAGTGGTGTTCGTGGGGTCTTGGGCCGGCCATGAGTGACAGGGGCATTCCGTGAGTATCGATTGGGTCAAGAGTTGGAGGTCCACTTTGGTTATAACGTGGTTCGTTGGTATAGCCGAGAACTCCTCCACTCTTCACTAGTGGTACGTTGTCATCTGAGAGGCGAGAAATGTGATTGCTGCCCATGGACAGGTCCTCATTGGACCAGTTAAGCTCGGGCAGGGTTGGTTGGCGGTAAGAATTGGGGCCTGCCGTTGGAGGGAGTGAATATGGTGGGAGGGTCGTGAGAGTGGTCTGTCGTGATAGGGTCGGCATCTCTGGAGGTTTGTCTGAGGATGCTTGACGGAAAGTAGGCAGGGTTGGTTGTCGCTTGAAAGAGCCAATTCCAAGTTCAGAGTCAGAAAGTTGGCGATCTTGCAGCACGACGTCTTTAGCCAAAACCTTGTCAACCTTCTCCTTGACGATTCGCTCGAATCGGATGTTGATCTTACGACGGCAGTAGGCGGTAAGGGAGCCGTCCTCGGAGGGTATATGATGCCACAAAAAGAGAAGGTAGAGAATGCATGAAACGAATAGACTTAGAATCGAAACCACCCAGATAACAAGGGTAAAAAACATCGCAGATAGAACCACTGCTTGGCGCTGATCCTTATCAGCCAGGGTTCGAACGTTGAAAAAGAATTGCGCTACGGGGGATATGCCTTTCGGGGGAGCGTGCTCTCCTCGGAGGATCAGATCTGATTCCATAACAGAGTAAAGAATTGTCGCATTGATAAATTGGCGGGGCCCTTCCGCGATAACAACTCGCGTCCATGCTTCAAAGTTGAAGTACGTAAAAAGGGCGACGTAATCGGCGCCTTTCTTACTCTTGGTGAGTGCGTAAAAGACCAAGAAACGACGCCAGCCACGACCGTTTTCTCCCATGCGGATACTTTGAATTCTGACAGCCAGAGGGTCCAGATAGCTCTGGGCAACGCCGCCTTGTTTGATAACACGCACCGCACGGATCCACCGGCATACCAGGAGAACGAATGATAGCATAATACATCCAGAGAAGATCCATTTTGAGATGTGTCTTGGGATTAATTGTTCTCGCTCAGTCGACCAACGATTAAATGCGATCAAGTTAACAGCAGTGAAAGTATCGACACCGTATACGGCAATTGATATAAAGACTGAGACCCAAAGAATGAAATACGAAAACTGAGTAAAACACGACGTTGACTTGAAGTCTGATAGATTCTACGAGAGGCGTTGCAGTCAGTTATAAAGCAACATCTAACAGATATGATTTAAACCTTGGAGGGGGGGTAACCCACAATGTATTCCCACTTCTGTTCCGCTCGCATATGCCCCCAGTATTCTTCCTTTCTTGAAGACGTACAACAACCCATTGCTTGTGAAGAACTTGGGATGTGTTCGATAACTGATTTTTGAGAGATTTAATAAGCGATTGTAACCGAGTTCAACCAGGAACTCCGGCTAAATGTACACTGAATAGTTTCGGTAAAGGCGACAGCAAGGACAGTGGGTAGATAGCGATCGCCTTCGGTCCAGCCGGTCCCAGAGGGAAGAGGAAATAAGCAAGGGCAGGTATTACGAGGTGGATGTCTCGTGGTCAAATGAGTGTGGTAGAGAAAATCGATGTACAGCGCGATTGGGGATAACTACGCGCGACCGCTGAGAAGAGGGGTTGAGAGGGCAGGTGCGTCACATCGCAGTTGGAAAGATGGAGGTGTTAACAGTCGCGACAACTATTTATGAATTGAGCACATGAAGAGGGGCGCGCGACGACAGAATCCAAAATGAACGGGTGGATTGAGTCGGGGGCCGTCAAGATCGATGATAGAAGGAATGAGATTCCCGCAATGGAGTTGGTGAAGGAATGGGCGGACAGGTGAATTGTCCCGTGAAACGGTGGTTGGGAGGAGTTGAAATGTGTGTGTGTGTGTGTGTGTGTGTGTGTGTGTTGCGGGTTTATATAAATAATGCGGGATTAACTGCTAGCAGTTGGGTGATGCACAATGAATGCCAAGCCAGGGGGTGGTGGATGCAACGCCCTGTCCAACATCGGATCTGGGGGCCTCTTTAAAACATCTGGCCAACTGTCATCCAGAGAAAACACCCCAAAGCAGAATCGTGGAGATGAAGTCGACAGAGAAGAAAAAGAGAAAAAAGGAGAAACAAAAAGGACGCATGAAAGAAATAAGCAGACAAGAGGGAGAAATGAAGTGGCTGACTAACATCGACATCCATGCTCTCTTCTCTCTCTTCTTTCCTTGCAACCTGTTGGGAGTTCGTTCTGTTGTGCCTTCCCTTGCCTTGAAACTGTGTGTGGCCTTCGACCTTGGCACTTGGGTTCAGCCAATCACAGCGCCCCGATGTTGAAGCACTTCCTGTAGCAGAAAAGGGTCGATCCCCTTGGAAGCTAGATCCGATGCAGTTTAGTGGGATGCACCTTGGACCCAATATGGCTAGCGTCCAGCTCTCCCTCGTCTAACCAAGGTTAGTTAGTTTTAGTTACAGAGATCGAACCGCTGAGTCAGCTCTCAATCTCGAAGGTTAACTAACTAGTTCGTTATGTTATTCGGGATGGCGACGAACGGCGGCGACGGAGTTCATAACAGAGTGCAGTTTTCTGGGCAATGGCTACGGTGGAATTGAAGAAGACCTTGTACAATGCTTATTCTGTTGAATGGCCCTAGGTGTGGAGTTGTCTCAGGCAAATATTCAGAAGAACCAACTGCCGTTTTTTGATGATGGTCGACAAGATATGGGCCCCAAGCAGCAACAGCCAATAAAATGCTCACTACTACGGAGTATTATGGCCCACAGGCATGTTGGATGTATCCACCGGAGAAAGTCTCCACTCCCTCTCAGTCAGTCGACACAGGAAATCCGCCTTGTTCCTCAACTCGAGTGCATTTCCTTGTAATTGTCAATTTCAATGTGGATCAAATTTGGCAAAGTTATCACAACTCGACGCTAAAACCCGCTGACCTTGAATCCGTTGCAGGTGCAGCACTTATCCTCCTGCCGGAACAAGGTACTAAAATTGTATCAAGCCGCTCGTCCGCGTTATGAATGGAGGATCATTTGCGGAAAAGAATCCTCTCAGAACTATTGAACAATAGCGCTGACCATGTCATCTCGAGTCCTAAAATTCCCAATAATGACGCTGAACAAAGCTTGTAAAGTTAAGTCTGAATATCAGGTAGGTGTTCATTAATCGCTTGAAAATGATATTGTTTCAGAAAGTCTCTAGAGAACCAGGCCTGAAGACTCTTATCATACAACTGAGTGGCGGCGTGTGTTGACTGGCGAATTACGTCAATCAAGGAGAAAAGGCATGGACAAAACCTGTCCCCTCAAATGAGGAACAACACAACCAAAAAAAAAAAAAAAAAAAAAAAAAAAAAAAAAAAAAAAGTGGACGACAGCCAAATATTACCCCACAGTGCAAGTTGACTGCTTCTGTCCAGCCCCGGGGAGGGGACGCTTACCAGAAAAATCCTCAATCACGGCCTTCTGACATCTGCCTCCGGACTCGGAATCTCGGACTCGGTCGGGTAAACAATTGTGGACAGCTTACTTTCCGCTTGAAACATTTGGCGGATCGTTCAAACTGTTTGCCAACGTGATCACTCAGCCAGCGCCTTGAGCCCATGCGGCAATGCAAGATAGGTCATAACTCCGCTGGAGAAGTGACTCTCCGCTCTTGTCGTAAAGGTGTAGCACACCAATTTCAGCAAATAGCTCCCTGGAATTTGTGGCGAACTGGGATAGCCAGCACCGCATCCTGTGCTTTAGCTTTTTGGAAGGTATCGCTTTCGTGGAACCCGAGGACAACGGTGTGGGCGGCCTCGTGAAAAATTCAAAACTATCAGGACAATCGCCGAAGACCATGACCACATTCGAGGGCTTTACAACGAGAGCACCAAACCTTCCCGCGACGGCAATCAGGTGAGGAAGGATTACTTCGCAGCGCTGGAGGAATGCGACCGAACCTTGTCAACATTTTTGCCACCATTTCGTTTATAGCACAACCTCAGCGTGTAGAGAGCCAACAGTGCAACAGCCAAAGGTCCTGGGGTTGGAAAATTTTCTAAACCGGGAGGTTGGGGGGGAGGGGGCGAAAGTAACATTATAAACACTGAGATCATCTGTGTCGACTTTCTTTATTATAAAGACTCTCACACCCCACATGTGGTCCGTGGGAAGTCCTCGGATAACTATAGACGATGAAATGGAAAAGAATCAGTATCACGTTCATAAATTCGTTATTTCTCACTACCAAGGAGTCCTTGAGGCTCAGATTTGCCGTCCCCCAAAAAATAAAAATAAAAATTATTAAAAATAAAAAAAAATAAAAATAAAAATAAAAGCGGGAGCAATCTGTGAATGGTTAGGGGGTTTTGATTTTTGCGAAGCACGAAGTTCATGCGAATGGGAAGTTGAAAAGTTATTGGTATCTCATGTCCTAATATATGCCCATAATGAAGAAAGAAGAGAAAAGAGAAAAGAGGTGGAAGGAAGGCGTTCTTTCGATGTCTATGCAGTTAAATCTATTCAATCAGAACAAGAGATGGGTATACAGCCCTCTTGGGAAGAGAAATTGAAAAAAGAGGCGAAAACAAATTCAACCATAAACAAATATGGGTATAGTTCAATAAAAGCAAATAGCAGCATGCGTATTTCTATTTGAAACAGAAAGTCAGAATAAGTCAATGAAACACCGAAAAAAAAAAAAAAAAAAAAAAAGACACTAGTATAAATTTAAAGAAGAAAAAAGTGTGGATATAGTTCAATAAAATGCGAAATTCGCAGCAAGGGAGTTTTCTGTTGTAAAATAAAAGGGAGAAACAAAGAAAGCAACAAGTACGCGTGAATAAAAATGAAAACATCCAGCAGTATGAAATCACAGTGCAATCGAGCTTAGAGCAACAGACTGCTTCGCAAGAGAAGGAAGTCTATACATCCACAGCAATATTGCTGTCACTCCAAAGAGCCCAGAGGCTACCACCCAGGGTAACCCAATCCATCCATCTCCCATCTCTAATCCCCAATTAAAAAACACAGTCACTATTGGACTCGCAATCGTCACACCGACGCTCTGTAACATTTCGATCGCCGTGTAAAGCCGTGCAGTCTGATCTCGACGTACCATTGTTGTGGCCAGGGATCTAATAATGAATACAAATCCAATCCCAAGCGTCTGGACGACAAGACCGGCAATGAAAAAGGATATTGAGGGTGAAATGCCCATGATAAAGGTACCGATGAGAAGAAGGATGACGCTGGCTTTCGACATGGTGAGGTCCTTTTGTCGGAAATGCATCCGTCGGCAAGAGGTGAGGTACCACGAGGAGAGAGGCAGGACAACGAGGAAGAGGAATACGGTTAAGATATATTTGAAGGAGTTTAGAAAGTTTGCATTGGCGAGAGTCCAGTGGTAACGCTTCGATATATATTGGATTAGCAGCCATGATGTGCCGCGACTCAGTCTGTAAACGAGGAATGTGGACAGGAGGAACATGAGATGCTTATCCTGGAAAATGAAGCTGAACTCGGATGCCATTCTGTTGAGTTTTGAGAGGAGATGGGATCCTTTGGCATAAGATTTAACGTGGGCATGGGATTGTTCACGCGGGAGAGAATTATGTTCGTAGTTCAACGGTATTGACTCTGGAAGCTCATCTGCATGTTCCTTTTCCGACGCAAATGCCCCCTTCGTTTCAGGTAACCCGACTGCTGGTAAAATTCCAATAAGGGTAAGGCTCCATCCTATACACATTGGGATCCAGGGGTTATATTTCATTAGACATGAAGTAACCACGGAGGAAATGAATTCAGACACCATTATTGCGACGCCGAACTTGAAGAAAAGCGCAGCCCTATTGACAAAATCAGTGAGCACATTTTCCTTCAATATATGTACGTTGTTCCATAGACTCTAACCTTTGGGATTCAGCGGTGACATCTGCCATCATTGTCCACACCATTGTACTAGCCACAGCAAACCCACCACCAAACAACCAAGCCAGTGTAGATAGCCAAACCATACGCAAGGGGAAAGTGTTCGTCGCGTACAAGATCACGCCGGTAAGAATCATATTCAAGACAAAGCCGGGTATGCAAATGCAAAATACAGGTTTCCGACCGTACTTATCTGCCAGCAGGCCATATGGCATCGAAAGCAAGACCCCTATTTTATTTCATTTGTTAGGGGAGATCATGTTTTAATCCCCTACACGGAAAAGCCCTCTTACCAGATAAGGCATCAAACAACTCTCCATAACCTTTCACGATCGCCACCTCCCTCTGTATTTCCTTATTTTTGCAAAGCTCTTCTGGGATATATCCATCCTTGCCTATTTTGGACTTGTCGTGCTGTTCGTAATAGCGTTGGCAAGTTATAGACTCAAATATGCGCGTCATAGGAGCAGAAAGCATCGACCCTCCAGTTTCGAAGGCAAGAACAATAGCGAAGAGAACAATGGTAAGTCGCATGCGGAGCTTCCGTTGGGAGCTGGCAGTAGAATCTGGGACGTGGTTTGATGCAAACGTCGACTGCTCGAAGGAAGGAGACTTTGGTAGAAAAAGCACATCTTCAACGTCGTCGTCGTCGTCGTCGTCGTCGTCGTCGCCACCGCTGCTGGTGTTTTGTTTTGAGAACATATCGAGGTGAGCTCTCGCCAGGGAATATTCGAAATCGGTGGTTGTTGGTGGATCTGAAAGCAAATGCATGGCCCTTCAGTGGAATGAATTATTAGGGGCTCATTTTGAAGAGGATTAAGATGGCTGTTTCCGCAGGTCTTCAGAGAGATGGAACAAGAATAGAGTCAAGGCATGGCTGTTAGTTTCGAAAGATCGTTTGACCAGCTGAGGATACCAGACGTGATTTCGGCTGGTCCTATATGCGGGTGGTCTGAGAAGTCTCAAAAAGTGGCCGTTTGGGACGTGATCTGCGCCGTAAGCCCAAACTGTGTTAAACTGTGTCAGGCCAGGTCCCATAAGTGTCGCACCAGTGATTGGGCGCCCAAACTGCAGCTTCCGATAGGGGCCACTTGGAAGAAACTGGACTGGAATCTCCCAACCACCTGCCGAGACCCGTGCTTGCACTCCGTAACATGATCGTGCATCTTGGCTGCCATTGATGTGTCTGCTCCAAGCTCCAGCTGGCTGGCTCCCATGGTTCGCTCCTGCGGGAGAAAGGGCGAGAAAGAAAGGTTGGCGGAATCCAATCTCCCATGATCTATCTGCCCCTGAGCTACCTTTGCGAAGCCTTGAGCCAGAGCCTTAGCCTTGAGCCAGGGACTTGCTGGCCCTTGGCTGGCTGGCAAGGGCTGGCAAGGGCTGGCATTGGCCCGGGGTTGCTGCAGCTTAGGCGAGCCGCTCTGATCAGAACTAACAATTCGGCGGTTGCCAGTCGGAAATAATAATTTATCTACAGCAAGCACGCACTTTTGCTGGAGGGTTCTCGTCAGGGATTGTCGATGGCGTCGCCGCGTTAAAAATTCGCAGGCAACTTGGCCGCCGTTTTTTTTTTTTTTTTTTTTTTTTTTTTTTTTTTTTATAAATCTGTTTCTACCTCTTCCTCATCGCCGTTGTCGACTAACGAACATCACACGATGGACGTTAATTAAATCTTTCTCAATTTATGTATCCGCTAAGCCCGAAGACGTAACTAGTTAGGCAACTTGGGTACGTACATCTGACTCAGCAAATCGTTGGTCTCCCCGCACGTGATCCCGCTTCCCGTTGTTACTACTTCTTCTTCTTCTTCCCGACTTGAATTCAACCACCGCAACCATCGGGGGACAACAAACAGCATCGACTTTTTGTTGTTGCTTTTAATCGTTGCGTGGCCGTTCAGCGTCACCATCTAGATGGCGCCTGATACGTCATCAGTCCGTTACCTCTTCGGTGCCGGCGGTAGCGGTTCCTCAGCTCTCTTGCTGATGGTTCAGGATTTCTGTCCATCCTCCTCCACCAACCGCAGGAATGACGTCGCCGCTAAGCCAACCCTCTTGAGTTTTGATCTTGTCCTGCTGAAACTCAATTTGGACCTGTTGCGCACTTAGCCTGGCGTTCCTCATCTGTAGAGCGAATTCCAACTCTTGAGAATTTTACTCCCAGCTCTTCCACGTTAGGCTTTAATCGGATTTGGTCGTGGCGGCCTCCGCTGGGCCTCGGGCCTGGTGAGGACTGACCGTCGCTGCTTTGGCGTTACTGAGAGCAACTGTGGCCTTCCGTGGATCCTCCCCTAGACCCTTGATCCTTTGGCTGGACCCGATTTCGTTGTTAGAATGGTCGCAGTTAGTTCCCTCCGCTCGAGTTTGCACTCATGTGCGGAGTCTCTCGAGCTGTTGTCCGCTCAAGGCGTCCGTTGGCGTCTCTACGAGCTGGCTCATTCGCTGCTGCTTCAGGTGATCGATATGTGCTTGATGTTCGATAACCTTGGCGTTAGCGTCCGCGAGGGAGTTGATGTTGCTAGCTGCCTTTGGACCAGTGCAAGCAGCTTCTGGCACTCTGCACCGAGGGTTCAACCGTTGGACTGGAGATTGTCGATCTTCCGTCTGTGCTCGGTATCCTTTGTTGAATAAACAAAAGCCTTCTGACAGTCGGCGATCAGGCTTTCATACGTTTGCCGTGCCATTTCCGAAAACCGGGCATTCTCAAGTTCTCTCAACTACACCATGACCTTGACTAGATCAAGCTCAGCACTGAGAGCTTTCTCTCGACTGCTGGCATTGACCATCAGCTGCTGCTGAGGTTGAACAAGTTCAACGCCTGTTTCTGTACTTTGGATTTCGACGTCACGGTACTGCCGGGCCTTGGCGGTTTTCTCGAGGGCTTCTTTTGACCGACCGTACGTGTTGGAACTCACCCTCCCCTCCATGTCGACAAGTGCTCGGTTCGTTTCCTGGATCTCGCTGGCATGAGCCATGATTTCCTGGTTTTTAGAACCTTTCCTGCTGCAACCTTGTCGGCGTGCCGTCTGAGGCTTGGATATCCCCTCGAGCGCTTCGATACTGCTGGAGTGGGAGATGAGTACCGCGTTGTGCATCTCAATAAATACAGTGACGGCAGAGGCATACGCACTATTTTCACCTTCGAGAAGGTTACTGGTAGCGGCCGCGCGACCGCGCTCAGCTTCTAGATCAGCACGAACTTAGGCAAGTGGCTGTGCCCCGAAATTGACGAATGCTTAAAAAGCATTGCCAGCAACTGGAAGGACCATACAATCAGAAACTCTTGCTACAGTTAACAATGGATGGGATGGCAACTTACGAGGAGTACTCCGATGAGCCCTACCTCACATCACCGGGCAAAACCCAGAAGAAAGGTTGTTGTACCCAGGGCTGTCGGAAAGCAGATACAGCCCGATCTGCCACGAATAGTGCAGTACCCAGAGCACCATCTTGAGAGTAAACCCGCGAGAGAGGCATCCGCTGTGATGTGTCGTCCGCCACATCCTTGCAGCTATGCTGACGCGAATGATATTTACCTCCTTGGTGATAGTGATGGAACTGTTGACAGTACTCAGTTTCCCAAATACACTGGCGCATGTTGGGATGGCCCTGAGCAAGACTAATGCGACAAAAAGAACTGCACTGAAGACCAGTGGGCATTGTCGTTGTGGAGTCGAATACAGTCTCTGTGAAGAACCGTGGGTTTTCAGGGAACTGGTGCTGGTGAGCCAACCAAAAGAGGCTGTTCACCAGAAGCACCAAAAACACAAGTGGTATCGCCATTGACAGCTTGATAGTCACGAAGTGAGTGCTTATACAAGACTTGGAGAGAGAAAGAGAAGAGGAAAAGAAGGAGAGAAATATAGGCGAATTTTAATAGAGTATGGGAGAGTAAGCGGATATGTTGTTACGTTATTGTGTTGTTCAACCCCTAACACGAGACTTTGGCCTGGCAACGAGCGCTTCACTGCTCTTTGTGAAGAATATCATCAGGAAACTGTGTGGTCTTCGGCCAGGTGACCATCGTAATGTTTTCTTGTTTTTGACAGCAGCATTCTCTACTCAGGGAACCCGTAAGCGGAATGCAAATGTGATGTGTGACAATGGCTAGAACGGTCGACAAACGAGTTCTTTGATAATATATTTACAGAGCCTATGAACAGGAAGAGGAGGCCCTAGAGGGGCTCCCACCCCTCTTTCTTCATACAACTTATGTTCTTGAGATGAAGGATCCATTTACTAGATATGTACATGCTATCTGTAGGAGCCTTGTGTGCGTTGCCCTAGGGGTTCTAAGTTGGGTTTTATAAATGAACACCTTCCAGTGACGGTTGTGAGAGATGCTACGCAACTTTCAGGTTAAATAATTGTTGTATCCTCCCAGAACAATCAGGAGAGGCAAAGAAAGGCTCCCCTACAATTAGAATTCCTCGGTCCCTTCCGGTCGTTTCAGCCATTGTTCTTCAGAAATCGTTTGTATTTTCACAAGAGATTTCAAAACGCATTTTCGCACCAACAGAAGTTTGATTGCTGAACATTTCGAGGAAGTGTTTGTATATTAACACGAAAGTGACCACAGTGGCAAAATCCATTAAGTAAGCCTTGTAGGCAGTCGTCATGAAGGATTCCCAAAGAACAATGACAAAATCTATAGTTAATATGTCTATGAATATATTCGTTGCTCTATCTAGTCTGCAAGTATATATATGTGTAAGGTGTATCCAAAACTGAAAACCAGCTTTCTTGATAGCGATATAGTAACATGCAATGAAGAAAAGCGTGTAAAGTAGACCAAAGAGCAAAAAAAAAAGTCGGAAAAAAAAAATTTGCGCGTGTCAGACTGAAGAGGTTGGCCCAAACGCTACAAAATTCTCCCATAACTCATATCGCGGATGGCAAGGGCATTGCGATTCGAATCTGCTGACGGAACTCAGGGCGAAGGCTGTAGAGGTGGTTGCTGGAGAAGGGAGATCTTGAACTTGAAACCCTGGATGACCAACACACGGGGCCCAGGGTTGACATCGGACTGGAATCGTGAAAACAATCATAAGATAAACAGAGTAGGCAGTTGAAACTGTGACTGTAGAGTCTATAGCAAACATCCCACGGATTGCGGACGCTTGGACAACCATGGCTATCTGGAGATGAGGGAATTCAGTTGGATACAGACCCCTTATCCCAGGAGGATTGGCCAATGAAGAGAGAAGTAGAAATACGCTAAGGTCAGTGTTTGCTGTTTTAGAACTCCAGTGTCCGCTTAATGGCATCGAAAATTCCTATGAGAGTATTGTGTTAGTGAATCAGTATTTTCCTGACTCAGCGAGGACTATGTAGTGATGATTAAAAACGTTAAGGGTAAGCTTACTAGCAACATCTGGTATATTTAATTTCTCATAGATCAAGCCACAGTGAACGTCCCAGCCCGTAACACGAGTGACAGGAGCCTCCAACCGCAAAAATGCGCCTTCTTGGATGGTAGCTGCCACCTCTGCTCCAATACCGGCATTCATCATGCTCTCGTGTACAACAATCGCCCTTCCAGTTTTCCGTACACTTTCCAGTATGGTTGTTTTATCCCATGGGTAAAGGGTTCGAAGGTCAATCAGCTCGATATTGACGCCGTTGAATGCTTTCTCGGCAGCTGCAATGGCTGCAGAGCAGAGGTAGAGAGGTTGACCGTACGAAATCACGGTCACATCTTTTCCAGGTTTGATGATGTCAGCCTTGCCAATGGGAAGGGTGTAAGATTCGGTTGGGACATGTTCCACTGCAGCGCGGTAGAGGATCTTGGGCTCCATGAATATCACAGGGTCGTTACATTCGAGAATGGCTGATAATAAAAGTCCCTTTGCCTGTGTGGGTGACCGCGGCATCACAACCCGCAGACCTGGGATATGAGTGAAAAGCGACTCTGGTGATTGGGAATGGTATCTTCAGTAAAGCAAATGATATATTAGCGAATTGATGGCAAACAGCAAACCCATAAGAAAACAGCTAAGAAGGGGGAACTGCATACAGAGCACCATGGCCTACTGCCCCACAGGGCATTCGTACTACGAGGCCCCCTACATTGCTTCCTGTGGCCCCCTCTCTATATCGGAATTTCGCCGCCTCGTTGACAAGCTGGTCAAAGGCGGGATAGACATAATCCGCAAACTGAATTTCCGCCACGGGTTTCATCCCTTCAGCAGCAGCACCAATTGCAAATCCCACAATTCCCTGCTCTGTCAAGGGTGTGTTAAATACTCTCTCAGACCCAAACTCTGTCTGCAAGTCTACAGAGCAGCGGAAGACTCCTCCAAAGGCAACATCCTCTCCAAAAAGAAGAACCTGATCTGATGTGGACAGGGCAGTCCGAAGTGCTGAATTGATAGACTGGTACAGGTTTAGTCGTTTCGTGACCCCGGTCTTAGGCAATTCTGCAGAGGATGTTATCGTGGATGGTGAGTGGTGGAGGAGCGGAGTCGTCCCATAGTTGATCGGCAGATTAAGATGTGCCGCAGGCGACAGAGCGTGAGATGAATACAGACGGGTGCGACACAATGGGCTCAGCAGCCTTCGAGCAACGTTATGGGAGCGGTGTGCCATTGTGTGCGGTATTCCTGAGTGAAAACAAGAGGGTCATCTTTCTCAGAGTGGATGTTTTTCTCCTGGTGATTATAGTCAAATCCCTCTGCTGCCGTTTGGCCGTTGTTCATTCGCCGAAGATAGCCGCGTTCATGCCAAGCCCGTGCTGGCTCAGTTAACAACGAGAAATAACGTAATCCACCAACATATCATTTGTGTTCTTTATTCAAAATGTTTCTATCTCAAGAATATTATATACAGTTGGTCATTGCTGTATGTAAATTTAAAAAAAAAAAATATATTAAACATGAAAGCTGCAAAAATATATAAATTTTTAAAATTATTCTATGTAAACAACTTGCTGATATCATATCACATTTAGAAATATATGCAAATGGACTACAAATTGACAAAGATTAAAGAGAAAATTCTTCTCAACCAATTCCTGAATGCAGGTAAGTGAAGCTGTCAATTCAACTGAAGATTCTGTATGATATGACATAGATTCTACTTTAAGTATATATTTTTGATTTTATTATCATTCTTAGAGTCAATTAAGCATCTATATTTATTTAATATCATTGTTAAACTATATACATTATAATTACTGTATATATTATCAACAGATGAAGTAGAAATATTTAAAAATTATAAAAATAATAATTAGAGATGATATATAAAATTATTCAAAAATATAATACTCATAGCGATGATATCTATAACTTTGATTAAATTGATCTTGCAATGAGATTTTATATATTCTCTAGAATCAATACTGCAGTTAAATGGAGAGATTATACAATTATTTAAAGGAAAAATTAAAATTCAGTTTTTTCTCACAATTGAAAAAAAGTTATAACTACTAATGTCATGGCTCAACTAGAGTCAGGATGATAACAAGACAAAAGCTTCAATTCATCTATTTAACTAGGCAGCTGCAACGAGAATACTAAACTCGGGATTAGAATGAGGAATGAACGAGCAGCCGAATATATAGAGATGGTTGGGGATCGGAGCGGATCAACCTTCAGAGCGTAGCGGGGCGGATCAACTTTAATCCATATACAAGCAGCTGCGCCGTAACAACTAATGACTGAATCACTAATGTATTACGGCTTCAATCTAGGCGCAAATGTTTGGATTGGCAACTAGATAAGCTATTTAAATGAATACCAAGGTGATTTACGAAACAGGGGTCTGGGGGAGGATCTCCTTATACTCATCTCCGTAGGGCGTTGCTAGGCCGTTGCTAAGCAGTTTCTGTTACTCTTTTCAGACAACGCCAGTTTCCCGTAGCTCAGCCGTCACTACTATTTTATTTACATAAAAATGGATAAATATGTTCAACAGCTAGATATATCAATTGAAGCTCAAATTGAAGCTACGCTTCATCAATAAACTTCATTGTACTTTAATAACTATGAGATTATTAAATATATTATTTATAATTACTATAATAAATAGCTATATATTTAAATTACATGATTTTAATTTATTAATATTTTTAATATTTAAACTACGTTAATTTTTTAAAGTGAATTCATTATTAAATAATAAATTACATAACTAGTTAACTTAATTAATAAGTTATTAAACTATTTTTTTTATATTAATTGATATATAAAATATTTCATTATTATAAATTCACTTTTATGGATTTATTTTTCTTTCTCTAATAAATGTGTTCTTGTATTTAGGAATTACTAGAACTGTATTAACTAGTGTATTTATGATTTTTATTTTTCAATTCTTCAACGTCGTCTCTACTAGCAGAGACTAGACCATGTATATGAGCACTGTAAAACATGCAGCAATTACAATAGAGTCAGACATATATAAAAACTAGATATGCCCTGGTTTCATTGAATTTAATTTTAATTAGTGATTGTTGAGTGTAGATATTTCTCTTTTTTTCATGTTATAATTGACAAAATGACAAGCTTGGTTGGTTGATTGCAGAGTTTGCATGCTTACAAGAACGACTTATATATATGGTAGAAAACAGGTGGGGTGATGGAAGTGTCCAACAAAAATTCGATAGTATGTTCTTATTCCGGTAGCCCCTCGAATGGGGGATTATGTTAATCCATTCTCCGCTCTTACGTCAGCCCGCCAAGAGGGCTCTTGATCGCGCTCTTTTGGGTACTTCTACGAATCTTGGCTCAACCTGCAGCTCGTCACCCCAAGGTCTGTTCTCACAGATACACGGATATTCATTTCTAGGGTCCTGTCACCCCTTTTCTTATATTGACTAATTTTTGCGTACCGTTTGGCTGATATTTTTCGGCTGTGTGGACTGAGATACTGTTTTCTCTCGTCTTATTATCCACCCTCGTTAAGCTCCATTCACAATTGCTGACCTCTAACCTCAAGCTCCCCTGTCTTCGATGTATCCAAAGCAGCATGTGGCCGGACGAACAGTAACGCTGGCAGTCGCCAAATTGCTGTTTTTTGCCATCGCTCAGCTCCCTACCGTATTAGCCTTTCCGATCCTTGGATCCTTCCAACGAGACACGCGAGAGGACACACGAGAGGATGGGAAAGCTCTAGATGGCCCCAGCCTGTGGCTATATTTGTCCGTGGCTGCCGCTCTTGTGATCACTGGGGGCGCTTTTGCTGGGTTAACTATTGCGCTTATGGGCCAGGTATACCCTATAAGCCCTCACCGGTCACAATTTTTGGATAGATGTTAACAACTTCTTTCTTTTTCCAATCAGGATGAGGTTTATCTCCAAGTCATAAAAACTTCAGGCGAGGGCGCCGAAAAAAAACACGCGGAAAAAGTATTAAGCCTTCTGAAACGGGGGAAACATTGGGTTTTGGTTACGTTATTGCTCAGCAATGTTATCACCAATGAAACCCTTCCCATCGTCCTTGATAGGTCTCTAGGAGGCGGATGGCCTGCTGTATTGGGTAGTACAGCACTTATAGGTATGTGCCTCGTCCATATCTGTATTACCACTAGCCAGAGCTGATGTCAGTGTAGTTGTCTTTGGTGAGGTCGTTCCCCAGTCGATATGCGTCCGTTATGGGTTGCCAATTGGAGCATGGATGGCGCCCTGCGTTCTTGTTTTGATGTATATCATGTCTCCAGTTGCTTGGCCTATTGCGAAGCTCCTCGACAAACTCTTAGGCGAAGACCATGGAACTATATATAAGAAAGCTGGATTGAAGACTCTGGTCACGTTGCACAAAAGCATGGGTCAAGCTGGCGAACAATTGAACTCTGATGAGGTTACTATTATTAGCGCCGTCCTCGATCTCAAAGAAAAGTCCGTGGGCAGCATTATGATCCCAATGGAAGACGTATTCACTATGTCTGCCGACACAGTGTTAGACGAAAAGATGATGGATTTGATCTTGTCACAGGGATACTCTCGGATTCCTATCCATGCTCCGGAGCAACCCCACAATTTTGTTGGCATGCTTCTGGTGAAGATGCTTATAACCTATGACCCGGAAGACTGCAAGCTTGTGAGAGATTTTGCACTTGCGACACTCCCTGAAACTCGTGCCGAAACTAGCTGTCTAGATATTGTCAACTTCTTCCAGGAGGGCAAATCTCATATGGTCTTGGTTTCAGAGTTTCCTGGTGAGGATCATGGTGCATTAGGAGTTGTGACACTTGAGGATGTTATCGAGGAGCTTATCGGAGAGTATGTCTGAAGAAAGCCCTATATTTCTAGAATAAATCAGCTAATTCATAATAGGGAAATCATCGATGAGTCTGATGTCTTTATTGACGTACACAAAGCCATACGTCGTATGGCCCCCGCACCCAAGTCTGGTGTCCCGAAGGGCCGTATCGTCGCAGAACCCCCCAGCGCTTCCACGATATCACACGGAAATCTTGTTGATATATCTGAAGATCAACCAAACTCTGCAGGGCACAGGGATAGCCATGATTTTTCACATAAACATTCAGTAGACCACGGAACCCCCCCTCAAACCACCTTCTATCTCCGAAAATCTCACCCATCCGACAGCACAGACTCTGTTGACACCCCAATCATTAGACGGGGCCCAACTCCAGAAATCCGTGAGCATCTAAAACATCTAGGCCCGTCTAATCTCGCAAGCCATCCACGACAGACAAGGTACCAGGCAGTTAAGATTAAGCCAGGAGAAGGGATCAACTCGGATCGCAACTCCATGTCCTCCCATCGCCCTCCGTCTGATCCTACCAGTGCTGTGGGAACACGCAACCCATCTCTAGTCCGCTCGACAGGGAGGACCACAAGTGATCGCGTCTTAACCCTGCAAACCACATATGGTACAATAACACGACCAACCTTACATACCCCAAGCGCCGAAACCATAGAAGAAAACAGTCCCGATGGCATATCCAAAGACCCATCCACCCGATTCGAAGAACCCTTCAAATTCACCATACCCAAAAACGAAAATCGGACAACAGATGCCCCACAAAGCCCCCTTTCCCACCGCAGCGGACCGAACAGCATTACCAGCTCTGAAACATCGAAATTCCGTGATTGCGTTCATCAACGTGGTGTAACCCGGAGCGGAAGCATTACCGAGCAGATTATCGACAGCAACGGCATTCGCAAGGTAATTTTGCAAACAGGTGGTGGCGCTTCGGCAGACGAAGAGAGTGTTGGGGAAGGTGATGTACATGGTTCAAGTGTCGCTAGAGCCCATACCACGCAAGCTCTTACTACCACCAACGGTAATGAAGTTCCATCCACTTCTCAAGATCCTGCCGGCCATCTAGTGAAGAAGAAACGGCGAAGAAAACGGAAGGGTGGCAGTTCTAAATCTATGGAAACGCGGCATTTGCTATCTTGACATGGTGTTCGGCTTCTTATCTTTTGCTTTTTCTTTCTTTTTTTTTAATTCCAGGCATGACTTGTTGGTTGTGAGAAAACCATTTATTGTTTTAATAGTTGATGTGTAAATATCCTTCTTGCCAGATGTAATATGTACTTTTGGTGAGGTTAGGATATGAATGTATTATATTGAATTTCCAGTGTTCAAGGCTGATTGCACTTTGGCTTTTCGAAAACTTGTAATCTTTATTCCGGATAGATTGCCTTTTACGCCTGTAAGGATTCCAAGGCTATTCTTCGGGTCTCGAATTGCGACATGTAAGGAAGCTACAGTTTAACGATAGTAAAATGGAAGTGGGCCTTGCCTTGATACAGAAGACATGAGCTGTTTAGATTCCGGCGTTTCCCAATGGCCATGCGAGTACCAGAAAATAATAATGGGTGAAATCTAGGCTCTCCTTTGCGCGGAACAAATTGTGAAAAAGGACGGATACCACGTGACCGGAATACAAAGTTCCGCTCCGCCCTCGCGACGGTACCAGGAGTGGTTCATGAGATGGTGAAATACAAAGGCTAGTTCCTTTGCAATATTCCAGTTTGATAAAGGAATGTGGGTTCAATACAAATTTATGATTTTATAATACGTTGTCTGGTGAAACAGGAATAAGTAGTATTGCTTGAAAAGTTAGCTTGACTTTTCAGTTATGAAACATTGATTCATGTCAACTTGAATTCATTTCTGCAATGCATTGTAATAACTAGTGCTCGCTATCATTACCGATGTATGAAATCTGCGAAAGAAGCCTAATAAGAGCAACAGCAGCTTGCCCACGATAACATCCCCAACACTGACGCCCTCTTATTTAGCTGATCACTGGAGTAGATGATCCTGTGTTCAAAATTCGATTAGCAAATGAATACGTGTAGAGAGAGAAAAGCTAAAGTTTATATAAAATAGCAGCGAAAATGGCGTAAGGCTCCTTACCCTGAAGTGCTTCTGGTGATTACCCCTCTTATTAATGCCCCACTCATATTGTTTTTGCGCCTTGTGCTCACGCCTCCGCTCTCTAAGCTCCGCAGCTTTGACTTCCCGCTTTTGGGAGTCGGTTGCACCAACCATCCCAAGTCCGCCATTCGCTCTGGAGATGAGAGCCTTATTCCTTCTAGAGCTGGCATCCGTGTCATGTATGTCCGGGTTCTGCGCGGCGTCCGTAATTGCACGCTGTCGTAGCAGGCGCTCTTCGGGGGTTGGATAATTGCGCAAATTTTGTCGGAAATATTTGAACAAGGAACGATGGCCCGCCGTACGGCCGGATGGAAGATGGAGCTCATAGTCATGATATAATGCGTCCCCGCCGTCGATAGTTGATGTTGAACTGTCAGTCTCCCATCCGTCATCGTCTCCAGCCTCCTTGGCATCAACAGCCGTCGAAACATGCTCGTCCTCTTCGTCGTCCTCGTCATCAGAATAAGTGCTAGAAAAGTCGTAAAACTGGCCAACTTCGAGCATTTCGTCTTCCGTGCTGAATGCAATCATGCAATGTCCCTTGTCGCGCATATGGGTCTGAATCGCGGCGGTGTTCGACTTGATCTTATGACAGTAGAGACACTCATTATTCTTTGTGATCTTGTTAAAGAGATATTTCAGCAAGCCTTCCCCATCAACCAGATATGCCTGTTCGGGCACAAACATGCCGTGGAACTTTCTCATGTGGAAGACGTTCAGTTTGACACAGTCTGAATTGCGGTTGCAGAACATGCAGTGGGTCAGGGCGTAGTCCTCATCATGCTCATGCGGGGCCCTGCTGGATGAAGTTCGACAAGCCCCAGCGGTGGCGGAATGAGTTGGTCTAGGTGGGCACTTTAATAATGGATCCTCACTCTCGATCGATGTGTATTGCAACCCATCCACAATTTTAGAGAATTCTTCCTCAGCAGACTCCTGGACGGACGGGGTTGGAGTAGCATTGACTGGTTCCCCCAGAGAAAACGTGCCACTCATCACTGAAGCTGTTTCATCCTGAAAGCCTCCGTTTTTTCTCAATTGCGTTTCCCTCGATTTGTGCTTTTGGCTAGCCATATGATTCTGGAAGGCATTTTCACTGAAGAAAGTTTTCTGACATGCTGCACATGATTTTTCAAAGGATGCCTTAGCAGCAGCAGCGAAATTGACTGCTTGGGCAGTAAGAACTTTTTCAGCAAATATCTCGGAAGATAGAGGAGGAAGGGCTGCGACTCGACGCTTTAAATTGTATCGACTAAAAAGCAAGTGGTTAATATTGGGTTCCAAAATATCAAAAGATTCAAAGCTTACTGCCAATCGCTTCGCATATGGGTTCTCTGGGAATCGGTATTTCTGAAGGCGACCTGACAAGTATTGCAAGTGAACGGATGAGTTGCTGCAATGTCCGGAGTTCCGTCTGAGGTGAGACCGCCATTCTGTCCAGCGGGGGCCATCATGGTGGCTGAATACTAGAAATTCTTGAAAATCTAGAATACTTATGAAATATTGGAGTTGTGTCGAGCAAGAATGATCCCGGGGGTGTTCTGTCAACTAAAATAATCATCGAACGAAGCCGTACTCTACTTGGCGGGAGTATCTTGCGTTTATATTTATATCAAAGTTGAGATCGAATTCCGAATCAACTCAAGATATATTTGTCTCTTTGTCGTCTATTTTCTTCATTGAGAGGCAAAACTCGGCTGCATGGCTAAAGGACGGTTTGACGGGTGGCGGGATGACAGTACGATACGCGAGACTACGGCTTGTGGGCCGCCAACTGACACTAATTCCTTGGTTGTTTTGTAACCTGTGACGCCGCAGAGCCTCGTCCAAGTTTGTCAGCTCTTATAAAAGTTATTTACGACTTTGACAACTGCGATCACAATCACCACTATCACCACTACTATTCCTTCGCAACAGTTAATATTTCCTTCTTATTCTCTTCAGTCATCCCTCCCCAAAATATGATACTCTCTGCTACAGCATGACCAGGCTGCGGGCAGGCTCTGGGAGCCCTCCAGATTCAGGACGACCCACCGTCGGGGATAGGGGACTCTATCATCCGTCGAAGCTCCCCAGTGGCGCCCCGGAGGTGCTCATCAAGAATACCATCGCTGTGACGGATCCTGCGAGGGTCCTGGCATGGAATAAGGACCAGCGCCAGAGAGATTTTAACCTTCTTGTCAAAAAGTTTGTTCTGCTAGACCCCACTGCGATCGATAAGAGTGCGTGCCGTAGCTTATACTCTTGGTGAATTAGATATAAAAACCAGCTTCTGTACGGTTGCCAGGACCCGTTTTGCACAACTCCTACATGCTTTAGTTATCGCAGGAGAGTTGCCGATGCCCCTCTCCGCCGCTTTACCGAACTCAGCGCCCGAACAGTTGCTTGCTACCTAGCTAGCCAGGATAACCCGGAGAGAGGTTTGTGCCGCAATACCCCGGCCCCCAGTCCAGGTTTTCCCTCAGCAGAAGGATCACGGCAGCAAAGGAGACGATCGCATGAATTACCTCAACAGAATGTTAAATTCGCTTCCCAGTCTCAAAGTCACAACGAGTCGGAAGGCAACTGTGGTGAGGGGAAGCCAGCAAGTGATATGGTAAATGCGGTAAACCAGACTCAAGAACTGGGCGAGTCACGGAATGGGAATGATGGGAAAACTTGCAACTCCGCGGAAGCGAACGAAAAACTTGGTCCAAAGCCCGCAGAGGATAAAGATCGGCCGAGATTAAAAGATCCAAAGTCGTTTACTCAAAATCTATTCGATACCCTTTCTTTGCGGATGGTTGAATGGCTACCGTTACGCAAGTCTCTGGAGGGATTTGATACCACCCCATCTGGCCCTGACGATGGCGGCACTTCTACATCTAAGACCCCAGAAACTGAGGCTCCAGCAAGAGATCACGGGCATCCAACCAATGCAAGACGAACTAGTCGACAAAAGCAAATGATATCGCAAGCCAACGTTAAATCCCGACCTCATAGCATTCCATCCTCAAACCTTAATCCTCAGCCCACAGCAGTCGAAGTAAAGATCCCAGGGCAACCCGTCAAACGCCTATCTCTTGGTGAAATGGAGCACAGGAAGCAGCCTTCACGGACGTATACTGAGGACAAGATTCGTTCCGAGCGGAAACCTGCCCGGAAAATCTCCTCGCAGCATACTCCATCAAGCGGCATCTCTCGAAACCAACATTCTCCACCGCCGTTGAAACATCGACCACAAAAAAATAGACGCGCGAATGGCGACCTGAATAAGTCTTACCGGCCCGACCAAAATCATCATAGTTGTGTCTCCTGGGATGGATCTAGGGGACCAAGGAAATCGAACCATACTGAGTCTGATAGCAACCGAGTATCTATCGACTATAGTGTAGAACAGCCACATCCTCTTAGTCAAACTTCTGAAACTCCCGCATCTAAAAATACTAATAGCGATAATCAACTTAATTCTCAACAAATCCAGACTCTGTCACATTTCTCTCCAGAAATAGTGACGGAATTAGAGGCCTTAATGTTTGAAAACGATGAAGACAAAGAGAAATGGCGCGAGGAAATGGCTGATTTAAAGTCTTGCGGGTACTCTGAGCCTTGGGATTGGCAGTATGCTACACCCAGACAGCGCGAAGTGTTCCCGTTTGTCGCCCAGAGTGTATTTTATGTTCTCAGCAATCCCCGTCAACTCCTTCAATCGTTTCGAAAAGACCCTTCTCGCCTAGGAAAGGTAAATGGTAGCGGGAATACGGGTCTACTTGATGTCGGAATGTTAGAAAACTCGTTTCGGACACTATATCGCATATGTCCTTGGGAAACCACTCTGCATAGTCTATGGATGTCTCTCGAGAAGCTTTTTGTTCCACCAAGAGATTTTTCTTTCAGTAGGCCACAGATGCTCCCTGTCCGGTGGTCCAGTTCATCGGGCCCAATTTCAAAACGTGGATTCCCCTCCCCCGCCAGTAGTAATTCTGAGGATTATATTTCCGACGCAGATGCAGCTTATATTTCGGTCATTGCCTTTTTCGCTTTGGCCAGTTCTATCCCCCCAACTGACCCGAAAACATGGGAGGCTGTTCGTCAGGTCAGGGCTTCTGGCACCGTTCTACCGGACGCTGAGATGAGGAAACATTCTCCATCTACCAGGCGGTCACTAGTGGCCATCGCGGAAGTATTTGAGCATGACCTCGCCCTCCGACTGGTAAATCGTTTGGCTCGAGTGGTCTCCGCGCGTTTGGCATTCTACGAAATCTCGAAGTCTCGAGCCTTCAGCTTACAGGACTGCGAGCGGCAAGAGAAACAAAACTTTGTAGAACTCATCCTGCAGACTTTTGAAGATTGCAGCAAGGGAAATAACCAGAGATCACATACAATCTCTTCTTCTTTGATCAGTGACCGGCCTATAAACGTTCACATGGTAGCTGTGGAATGGTTACGGAGCCTCCTTCTGAAGGAATGGGACGGAAAACCCGAAATGACGAAATCAGGTGCTGCTGGCGGCTCTTTACAACTTCTTGCATCGATGTATAAAGAGCGGTCTAGACTAGGTTTACAACCTGAAGATTTCTCTACATTTTTCCTCTCTGAGCGACTAGATCCCACAGAAATGCCCGTCGAATGGCTCGGGATCCTTCCAAATAACAGAACGGTGCACCTCTTATCCTACCCCTTCCTATTTCCCCCGTCAGCCTTGGTTATATATTTCCGAGCTATCAACTATGCTGCGATGTCCAAGTCTTACGAAGCTGCGATGACCACCTCGAGACATGTTACTCAACCGGCATTTTCCGGTATTATACCGATCGATGACGATGTTAATCTACTCTCCCTGCTCAAAACATCTATCTCGACCTATCTGGTTCTAGTCGTGCGGCGAGATAATGTTCTTACCGACGCTCTTGACCAACTATGGAGACGAGAAAGGCGTGAACTGATGCGACCTCTTAAAGTTCAAATGGGCATGGACGAAGGCGAGGAGGGTATCGATCATGGCGGTGTCCAGCAAGAGTTTTTCAGGGTAGCTCTTGGGGAAGCATTGGACCCATCATACGGACTATTTACAATGGATATACGAACCCGTATTTCCTGGTTCCAACCCCTTTCTATGGAACCGCTATACAAGTTCGAGTTGTTGGGTTTATTGATGTCTCTTGCTATTTATAACGGCCTCACACTTCCAGTTAATTTCCCCATTGCGTTGTATAGGAAGCTGCTCGGTTTGAGGGTTAAGACTCTCGATGATATCCGCGTTGGTTGGTCAGAGCTTGCGAAGGGTTTGGAAGAGCTGCTATCATGGGACGACTGCGATGTTGGTGACATCTTTATGAGAACCTATGAGTTCAGTTTTGAAGCGTTTGGAAACTTTGTGAATGTCGATATGGAGAAGGTTGATCGCAATGAACCATGGCCCGCCCCTGAGCGGTTGGCTTGGGAAAAGAGAAAGCCTGGTTCATATAACCGACGCTCATCTTCGGGTAAATCAGGCCCGCTTTCGCAACGTGATAATGACGTATCGATGTTACATGACACTACTGATGAAGGCCCTAGCTATAGGCGTGACGGGGTTCTCTCAGGAATACTCAAGGGGTCTTCTTCAAAAATAAACAGAGCGGCACCACCCTCTCCACCACAAGAAGCAGCCTTGGTCACCAATGAAAACCGAGAACGATTTGTCAAAGACTATATTTTCTGGCTAACAGATAAATCTATCCGTCCTCAATATGAAGCTTTCGCACGCGGCTTCTATACCTGTTTGGACCGAACAGCCTTGTCTCTTTTTACCCCGGAGGCGTTGAAACTGGTTGTTGAAGGGATTCAGGAGATCAATATCAGGGAACTCGAGTACCATACTCGATACGAAGGTGGCTTCGAGCCCGACCACCGCGTCATCCGCGACTTCTGGGATATTGTGTATCGATATTCGTCGATGAGGAAGCGACAGCTGCTAGAGTTTGTGACGGCCAGTGATCGCGTGCCGGTCAACGGCATTTCTAGTATCATGTTCGTTATCCAGAAGAATGGTACTGGAGATAACGTATGTGGTCAACTTTCTTTTATATATTTTTATACACTTTTATTTCACTTGAGAGGATAATCAGAAAACTAACGGATCCGTCCAGCGTCTTCCAACTAGTCTGACGTGTTTTGGCAGACTCCTGCTGCCCGAGTATTCAAGCCGAGACGTCCTGGAGGAGAAGTTGTCAAAGGCCCTTGAAAATGCCAGAGGTTTTGGTGTCGCCTAGTTCGATAGTCCTATCGGAGTCCCTTGGAGGCAGCCCTTTTGCTACCAATCCGGTCTCTTTTACTGCATTATAAAAAAGATAGTTGATTCTTGGCCTTTACTATTCTCCTGTGTTTTCTTGTGAATGACTGTTAGCCGGTAAAATTTCACCTTCAAAGACTTTGTGACATACTAGAGATTTTTTGCTCTCCCTGTTCTATATCCCGTTTCTGAGTTTTAAGACTTTGTATGTTTCCCACTTCTTCTTTTCGAGGTTACGATTATTCAGAGACGAATGGGAGAGTAAAAGAGCATGTTTGGTAGACCCGGTTGGGCATCAGCGTATTTTGCTTTTTTGCTGCAAATATAATTCCCGTTTTTGACAGAATCCTCCACCGCTGTTGTGTTCTTTTCGTGCCGATAACTTGAGATATGTTACTATCGATATGGGCTTTTCCATCAGTGTCCGTTTTCGGGAATTTTGTACATACTTTCAACAATACTAAGCTCTTGACCGAATGGCAAGTTTGATTGCAAAGGTTGCTAACTACGAGAACGACTATATAGTGGAAAATAGGTCCCGTGACAGAAGGGTCCGACAGCGTCTATGCTAAAGTTATATATATACGTGCATAAACGCATGTATATGAATAAAAATACAAGTTCAAGATACTTCCCCTTCCTCTTATTGTTGCCATTCCGATCTGAGCCATGATTTGCTGCTGTGGGGTTGAGAATAAATTAAGAGCTATTTAACGAGGTGTTCCGTACGAACAGCGTGAATAAAATTGTGGGGAAAGCCGTTGGAGTCATCTTGAAAACAGCGGTCAAACTTTTGAACATACAACTTTTCTCGGGATATTAAATATTGTTTTTCAGTCTTGTGCACCAGACGTTTAGAATAATATATTTACATCACACTTGTTTCTCTATCACTCTCATTTAGATCTAGGGAATAGATCCTGCACGTGTTTTCATCTACGTCGTCTCCAAACACCTGGACTCGAACCATCTAGCCCTAAATAAATAACCACCGTGGAATTTGGGACATTGCACTCTCCAGCTTCTCCAGCTCTGCTGACCACTGCTATATAGACGGATGAAACACTCAGAATGCCACCAATCATTCACTGTGTCCGCCATGCGCAGGTTCGCCCTCATATGTTCCCCTGATCAATTCCTCTATCAATTCCTCATTCCCACTTACCGTGTTCCCTAACTAAATAACCCCAAATCCCAGGGTTATCACAACCTCACCTATGCCAATCACACCCTCTCCGACCCCCTCTTAACTCCACACGGCGAATCGCAATGTAAGGACCTCAGTGCGGAATTCCCGCATCACTCCCAAATCGACCTGATCGTTGCCTCACCGCTACGACGCACCCTCTACACCGCGTTATTGGCATTTGAAGATCAAATCAAGAGCAGGGGGCTGACAATCATCGCGCTGCCGGAGATCCAGGAGACAAGTGATGTGCCTTGCGATGTTGGTAGTGACTTGGAACTTCTAGAGAAGGAGGTTGCGGAGAAAGGGTTGCCCGTGGATTTGAAGTTGGTAGAGGAGGGATGGAATTCAAAGGTAGGTTAGAGAATGATATCATTTTGCACCCATTTCGGGTTATATGGTTATTATATGGATTGTGGACTGATATCAGTGTCAACTGATCGCACAGACAGGAAAATGGGCACCCACTGCTGAAGCTATTGAAGATCGTGCAAGGGAAGCTCGACGATGGCTAAAATCTCGACCGGAAAAGGAGATTGTGATTGTATCGCATGGGGGATTTTTACATTATTTCACGGAGGATTGGCAAGATAGCACGCTTTACCAAGGTATATACCCTATTTCTCCTATTTTGTATTTCAATTCCCATTCTTTTGCTTTGGCAGAAAATCTTTCCCAATGACAACCCCAACTCCAACCCCTCAAAAACAAAAAGAGAGAACAAGAAACCATCAAGCTTACTCACGAACACTGCACCCCCGCATAACGTATTGAAGTTACGAAAAGGAAACCCAGTCCCAATAATTATACTAATGTCCGCCCTTCCCCCACCTACCCAGGTACAGGATGGCGCAACACGGAATACCGCACCTACACATTCTCCGACTTAGTTCATCAGGATGATCTCTATGGCCGGCCTCTTGGCGGTGACAATGCCACCATCCAAGAGACTCCTGAGTCCCGTCTCCGCCGTGGGAAATCGCCCGAAGCACCCCCCAGGGCCTTGCGGAAGCAGTTTTTCATCCAGGCGATGAAGGGGTGGGAGAATCAGGTTTTGGACTGGGCGAAGCAGGAGGAGTCGAAGACGGGGATAACTGCCGGTATTGAGTCGAGGGCGGGAGACAAGGTTGTTAGGGGAGAGGACTGGGAGGAGGAAAGTGTTTATGCTTAAGTGGTGATATATATCCAAGTGAGAGGGGCTATGAGAAATGAGTTGCGTTCAACTAGGATGGCATTCTTTTTTTTCATGTTTTTTGTTTTAGATATCTTAATTCCCCCTCTACCATACATATATATAATTTTTCCTTGCTTGCCTACTGGTGGTAAAGGGTTTCGACTAATTATCGGCCTTCGCATATCAAGGGGAGAACGTCCGCACCAATCTTCATGTAATGAATGATGTTTTATACACCTCTTGCTCCAACCTAGATATAGATAGATGTGCACTTCAGGATGAATCTTGGACAATGACAAAAGTTCACTCAAAAAAGAAAAAGTAAAAGTAAAAATCTGGTGTACGATGTGTGTATCAGCACCAGCGCTGGGTGGTTATTTCATAAAACATTAAATACAAAAGTAAATATAAGGCAAAACACATAACACCAAAATAGAAACCATGCATGCCCAGTAAGATAAGTCATTAAACAGTCAAACATAATCCACATATGAGTGAACACTGATTGCTGAAAGATGAAGATTTCATTTCTAAGTCAGTGGAGTTGTTTCTTTTGGACATTTGGTATTTTCGTCATCCAGTTCAGTTGCTGAATCGTCCGGGATTTTGTTTCTGTGAGCCAGTCAAATGTCTGACGGCTAAATGGCTAGAAAGTTCTATCAACATATAGTTATCGCTCATTCTTACTTCAGACCTCATCCTGCTGAGAATCAGCAGAAATTTTTCCTACACAGATTCATCACCCCCTCACTCCCAAATGCACAAAGTAGGAGGCATGGCGGTGGGATTGTATGTGGTTGAAGCCCTAATCCCTAGGGCCTGGCAGTAAGCGCTGCGGGAGAGCTGCCAGACAACTAGTTCTGTTGATGACGCAGTCCTTTGTTGAAGTAAAGGGATTATTTGCTTCAACGGTCCTAGAACCTTAGATTTCGGGAATCAATGCAACGATGAAGAAGCTTCAAGGAACACTTTGGGGCCAAATAGCTGTGCAATTCGCAAGTGCAAGATCCTCAAGTCTCGAATGAATACCCTTTCTACTTCACCAGATTACAGTCAGTTTAGCTTTGCAGGATGATATCCTGGCAGGAAGCAGCTAAACTTTCTCAGGGGTTTGTCGAATTCAAGAGCTGAGCACGGAGATAAAAGGTTTGCGTAATCATTACACGAAACTAAGGTGTACCGCGCGTGCAAGGCAGATACCCATTCTTAGCGTTGCCAGAAGTGTTGAACCTTTATCTCAGGGGTATCCAATGTTCCATGACTCGGTATATGTATGATGCCACTGCAGATGGGTCTCCGTTGCCTATCCCCGCTGTATATAGAGCAATTCCCAGGGACCAGCCACAGTTTCGAATTGTGGAACTTGCTCCAAACAATTTCCACCTTTCGAGAAGAGACAACCACACACTACGGCGATCCGCAACGAATCTCCGTATTCCGTATTTCCCCTTGGAATCCAACGAGGATATTTTTAGCAACGGGCTCGTCTGGGCCAATTAAATTATCCGATTCCGCCCTGACATGAATCTTGGCGTCCATCTGCTGACATAATGCAGTGACGTCCTGGTTGTTCGTTGAACTAGATATAAATGTTTACAGCCCTCTGACCATATCAAAGGGACGACATCACTCATGTCTCTGTGCTTTCAGGACACGTTTACCTTCCGTTCCTCTCCCTCTCTGAGAGGGAACCTCTTCTTCATTCGTGAATCCTGAAGTAGATTCTCCCGTCCAACCATCATTCCGCATCACTAAGTTAACTACTCCCGGTATCCTGCGCAAGGAACGCCCTCATATTCCAAGATGTTGGATGAGAACTTACCAAGTACGGCCGGGCCCCACTGCTGTTTAGACAGCTTCTATGGAAGTAACTGAAGACCTAATGATTCTTAACAGCATTCTTTCTCAAACCCGCCAATAACAAGCCCAAATTCAACTCCTCGTTTTTCTTTGTACAGCATGGGGAAGAACCCACCCCAGCTTATACTCTCCGACATCTTGATCCCTCATTACCGGGATCAAAAAATCGATATGCTGTTGGTATCTACGATTCATTTTCTCCCGATGTGCTTTATGCAGAGGTGCTGTTGATTCCAAAATGGACTCGCCCAACTCTGTCGCAAGAAACTATACGCCAGAATGATGGCGTACCCCCTCCTCCAGAACCAATACTTCCCCTTGAGTTCATTATTCAGCTATACAACCCAGACCAACAGGTCCTCGTTCGGCACAAACCCAAGAGTTGGAATTCTGTTGCTTCATGGGAATTTGAAGTGCCGCAGCAGACATTTAGACAGCCCTCCGTATCTACACTCGACCGGACGTTAAGTGATCCTGCTGCATCGGATATTACTCCAAAGTTAAAATTTATTTGGCGCAAAGATGGAAAACTCTCTAAGGACCTTGGATGTTATATGTCTGGTAAGAAACTGGATGATAAAAAGGGTAAAGAACCAGACATCACTATAGCCATCCTACGCAGTTTTAAAGAGGTGACCCTATATGAGCCTAATCTTTGCCGGGTGGAAATCGAAGACTTCAAGGGCCTAGAAGTAATCCTTCTTCTGGGCGCTGTAGTGATCCGCGATGTTTATTTTGGCCAAATAAGTGAATGCTTCCACATTTCTGATCCACCCAACCCGGCGATCCCTGTACTCTCCGCGCCACCAAACAAGCCACAAAGACCTCAAATATCTATTCCGCAACGGGAAACCCGTCCACCCCCAGTTGACCCTCGTACTCAATGGGAAATAGATGCAGAAACCGCCAGGCTAAAACGAGAAGCCGAAGCGGAAGCGAAAGAACGCCGCCGCCGTGAGAAAGAAGCGGAGAAGGAGACAAGAAGGCTTCTCGAAGCGGAACAACGGGAAGCAAGGCGACGGCAGGCCGCGATCGACCAAGAAACAGAACGTCTCAAAAAGATATATGCTAAGGAGGATATGGAGTACCGCAGACGGCACGCACAGAGTCTGCATTTGCCAGGACCTAATCCGCCACCTCGACCCGCATCTAACAATCAGCACGCACATGCAAACCACCGCTATTCATCATATCACTCTGCTCCGTCTCACCCTCTCGTGCCTTCCCAGGTGGTGGCTCCCCGACCTGTCTCTTCCATGGCAAACCCTCAGTCATCTAATTCTCCATTAAGGGAGAGAAGGAGCATATTTGGACTCTTTAAGAAGGACGACGATCGCTCCAACACCCTATCTAAGAAGAAGAGTTCGGAGTTTTAAGCACATTTCTTTATGATTCTTCAATACTGTACGATATCTGCGTTGTTTATGTTTAAGGTTCAGGTTACGTGATGGTTCGTATATATATTGCATCACCCTAACCATTTTTCTCAGTTCTTTTTGCTTTCAGTGTCCCCAATCCTTGTCTCCTCTACAACGAACCATTTCCTCCTACCAATGATACCCAAAAATCATTCTGGTTCTATTTTACAATTTTTCATATTTGAAGAGGGATGAAGATGTGATCTCCATATAA